ACAGACCACTAGAAATCAGAGGGTGTATCAACATTACACAGACCACTAGAAATCAGAAGGTCTATCAACATTACACAGACCACTAGCAATCAGAGGGTCTATCAACATTACACAGACCACTAAAAATCAGAGGGTGTATCAACATTACACAGACCACTAGAAATCAGAGGGTGTATCAACATTACACAGACCACTAGAAATCAGAGGGTCTATCAACATTACACAGACCACTAGAAATCAGAGGGTGTATCAACATTACACAGACCACTAGAAATCAGAGGGTCTACCAACATTACACAGACCACTAGAAATCAGAGGGTCTATCAACATTACACAGACCACTAGCAATCAGAGGGTGTATCAACATTACACAGACCACTAGCAATCAGAGGGTGTATCAACATTACACAGACCACCAGCAATCAGAGGGTCTATCAACATTACACAGACCACTAGCAATCAGAGGGTCTATCAACATTACACAGACCACTAGCAATCAGAGGGTCTATCAACATTTCAACATTACACAGACCACTAGCAATCAGAGGGTTTATCAACATTTCAACATTACACAGACCACTAGCAATCAGAAAGCCTATCAACATTACACAGACCACTAGCGATCAGAGTGTCTATCAACATTGCACAGACCACCAGCAATCAGAAGGTCTATCAACATTACACAGACCACTAGCAATCAGAGGGTGTATCAACATTACACAGACCACTAGCAATCAGAGGGTCTATCAACATTACAAAGACCACTAGCAATCAGAGGGTCTATCAACATTTCAACATTACACAGACCACTAGCAATCAGAGGGTTTATCAACATTTCAACATTACACAGACCACTAGCAATCATAAGATCTATCAACATTGCACAGACCACTATCAATCAGAGGGTCTATCAACATTACACAGACCACTAGCGATCAGAGAGTCTATCAACATTGCACAGACCACCAGCAATCAGAAGGTCTATCAACATTACACAGACCACTAGCAATCAGAAAGTCTATCAACATTACACAGACCACTAGCAATCAGAAGGTCTATCAACATTACACAGACCACTAGCGATCAGAGGGTGTATCAACATTACACAGACCAATAGCGATCAAAGTGTCTATCAACATTACACAGACCACTAGCGATCAGAGGGTCTATCAACATTACACAGACCAATAGCGATCAAAGTGTCTATCAACATTACACAGACCACTAGCAATCAGAGAGTCTATCAACAATACACAGACCACTAGCAATCAGAGGGTCTATCAACAATACACAGACCACTAGCAATCAGAAGGTCTATCAACATTACACAGACCACTAGCAATCAGAAGGTCTATCAACATTACACAGACCACGGTTACCTGGCAGGACATTTCCTGGTACTCATAAAACATGAGTCGACATTGGAGATAAGAACAATCTGGGGAAAAACATCTACCATGATGTGAATCCTAGATTACCTACCCTTTAAAAAGTTGGCATAGAGAAAACAGGAATCCATGTGATACAGTGGTAGACACTCCACTTGCCATACTAAAGGTAGTGGATTTGAATCTACACTGGGTCGATACAAAAAATTTTTCCAGCTTCCAGGTCAACCCAGCCTTAAATGGGCAACAGCTAAAGTCCTGGGAAGTGAAGACAGTCAGCATGATGATGATCAACTCACTATCGAGTGTCAGTTGGTCTATATACATATGTGTCTAACATCATATTCCTGATATGCCTAAAGTGTGAAAATGCTCCTTTTCTCAGTGTTTACAAGCAGGTCATAAAAGACCTAACTTTAAACATTCAGGACAGAGAGCACCTTAAATTAAATGACCTAGTCTTGTTCATTCAGAGCACCAGGACATGTCCTTACTTTATTTATACAGGATGGGCAAGGAGCACCATTCAAGGTCCTGACCATGGTTAAAGCACATAGACAAGAGGACATGTTACATATCTTTGTTTATGCAGCAATGGCAGAGACAGAGAGCAGATAACGTGTTTATTCCTAAAGCACAGACAGAAAGCACTTAATCTCAGGTAGATATAAAACACGGGCAGCACCTTAATTTGCACTTTCAACTCACTGTAAACCTTATTTAGTACATTTAAGTCAGAGGGAGAGTGAGAGAAAGAAAGAGAGAGAAAGAAGGAGAGAGAGAAAATGAATGAACGAAAAAAAGCAAAAAGTTTCAAATTGGACACACAAACCCATCTTAAATTCAGTCCTTCTAAGTTCTCATCTTTCAGACCACATTAATAATGCATGCTATGTCTATTTTTAAAAAAAATGAAATAATGCCAACAAACATCATACATACACAATCCTACACACTCAAAAATACACATATACACATACTCTTACATGCTCATACTTACACAGCTGCATACACACTCATATACTTACAAACATTCATGCATACAGACACATACATATTACACCCCTATTTATTCATACATACATTGCTACATACACACACACGTATATATATACAAACACAATCATATCTACGTGTGCATAGCTACATATACAAAAATTTACATACACACATAGATACCTACACACATACATACATACACATATAAACACACATGACAAACATGCACCCATACACACATACATAGAGAGAAAAGGAGAGAAAGCTGAATCTAGTACATACAGCTCAGACAGGGAGCATCTGAGCTTGCACAGTCAGCACAGAGAGAGCACCTAACCTGTTACACTCCGTACAAAAAGCACATAAACTTGTACATTCAGTACAGAGTGTACCGAATCCAGAAAATACAACCCAATGTGAATCTTACCTTATGCACTCAGCACACATAGAGAACACCTAATCTAGTACATTCTGCAGACAGAAAGCACACAACCTTATCCACTCAGTATAGAGAGCATCTAGTCTAGAACAGTCAGCACAGACAAAGAACATCTAGTACATTCTGCACAGACAGAAAGCACACAACCTTATACACTCAGTATAGAAAGCATCTAGTCTAGTACAGTCAGCACAGACAAAGAGCACAGAACCTTATACACTCAGTAGAGACAGCACCTAGTCTAGTACAATCAGCACAGAGAACAGCAAACCTATTACACTCAGTAGAGACAGCACATAGTTTAGTACAGTCAGCACAGACAGAGAACACCCAACCTATTACACTCAGTAGAGACAGCACCTAGTTTAGTACAGTCAGCACAGTCAGAAAACACCCAACCGTCTACACTTAGTAGAGAGAGCATCTAATCTAGTACAAGGTCCGACAATTAAGTAATGAGACTAATTCCATAAAAATTGAAATAATCAAGAGTTGAAGATATAACCTGTATTTTATTCAAGGTAAGCCTCTTGTGCATTGATTAAGCGAGTGGCACAATCTAACAAACATTAAAACAACTAATACCAATGTAGTTCTTCTATTGTTATGGCCCCTAAAGTCGATGTTACGGCCCTTTGGATGCCATCAGTATAGTCAAAATACATCCTTTCAATGGCAACTTTAATTTTGAGAATAGAAATTAGTCACAGGGAGGCAAATCTTGTGAACAGGGTGGTGATTGAGAACAGGCATCTGTTTTGGTGCAAAACATTCCTGTACAACTATCACCCTTTGGTGCATTGTCATGAAAAAGGGAAAAAATTGCCATGTGTTGAATACAAACTGACAAGCAACATTTTTCTTGCCCAAATCGTCCACTAAAATTTTACAAATAGTCTTTGTATTAACACCAAATTCATCTACCATCATCCTCACAGTCGATCAGTTATCTTCTTGTATCCATTCTAGAAATTTTGCAATGGGTTCCTCATCACCAACATAAATTGGGCGTCTAGTTGCATTAGTAATCATTTCCACACCACTTTTGAATCGTGAATACCAGCTGAAAATCTGTGCACGAGATAAACAATTATCCACATAATCTTGTCACACCAACTGAACTGTCGCAATGGCGCTTTTTCTGAAGGTTTAACATAATTTAATGTTAGCTTTTTTGCTTCATGCTGATTACGTAACAGTGCACCTCAGACTTGGTTAACAAAATAGTGGCTTGTTTGTTGTCTGCTTATCGGGCAGCAATGAAACGTTGCCAAATCACAGACGAAGATTGCCTCTTTAGATTACATGCTTTGATTCATAGATAGCATTTTTGTTTTGGCCATAGTCTCATTACTTAATTATTGGACCTTGTACAATCAGCAGACATACAGACAGTACCTAAACTAGTACATTCAGCACAGAGACAACTTATCCTTATACACACAAAACAGAAAGCACCTAATCTAATACAAACAGCACAGAAATACAGCACCTAAACTAGTACATTCAGCACAAAACAGAAAGCACCTGATCTAGTACAATCAGCACAGATGGGGAAAACCTAGTCTTGTACAATCAATGCAGGTTACAGTTCTCATAGACAGAGAGCACCTAATCTTGGACATGGAGCACCTAACCACAAACACAACATGAATAAACATTCCCATCTGGTATTAAACAATTACCTCAAAACTACTCACATTTTTGGGAAGTTTTCCTTCTTCTGCTTTTGCCCTTAGAAGTTTGGGTGGCAGATTGTGTTGTAATTTACTGCTGGGCTGCAGTATCTGTACTTTTGGGCCTAATAAATGGTTTTAACAAATCCTTAATTAATCACCTTTTACAAGATGCTTATTTGGGGGGTGGGGGTGTGCGGGGCAATGGACTTTTCTCCCCCTTCTCCTAAAAATGGGGCTGGAGAACCCACAGGGGGATCTTGTGCACTTGACCACATGGAAGGCACTTTATATACTTCATGAAAACACATTAAAATATCACGTCATATACTTCATGAAATAAACATTAAAAAATCACTTTATATTTTTCATGAAATTAAATATTTAAAAATATTAAATATATGCCAAACAGTCAAACAATGACTATTAGAAATAATTTGATAACTATCTGAAAAATGGTATTTAAAACAAAAATCATGGAAACATTCAAGCATAAACTTCTTTTTCGTGTGGTTTTTTGGTGTAGCCAGTCAATGGCATAAACTGGAGGCCATTGTCGAAAATATCATCTTCATGTTTTCTGTTTGTCTTCTTGTTGCCAAGACAACGCACAGCGAATCGAAATTCTTCAGATATCTCTGAACAAACAGATTGCTGTTAATAAAAAATAAAATAAATTGTTAGTGAACATGTTGAATCAAGGAGTTAATATCTAAATTTTGTAACAAAATTAATACTTAAATAGTACATTTATATTCTGTAACAGGACGAGTGAAATGAAACTACTAAAATCTCTAAATGAATGAATATAATAATACATAAGATTATAAATACCTTAAAGAAGCATCAAAATTATTTAAAATAATTCCGTTTGTAGGTTCTAGTTCCCAAATGAAGGGGGAGAGGAAAGAGAATAGACCCACTGCCCCCCCCCCCTCCCACCCCAAACGAGCATGGCATAAAAGTAATGTAATTAGGGGTGTTTGATGTGAGGTGGACCACAGTTGACTTAGAGGTTAGGAACCAACAGTCTGCATAATAATAAGCCAGATCTGTGCAACGGATGTGAAGGCAAAGCTCAAGTTTTGGAATAAGACCGAAGTCTAGAAGTGGACAAACAACCTGGAGTTTCTTCTGGAGTTTACAGCCGGTGAATTAGAGGAGGAGAAGATTTAACATAATTAATACTTTAATGATTACTACATTTTTATCCCTACTTTATGTTACATTTGCCAAATATTGGCAACTAAAAAGGCAATAGAACAGAAAATAACTACCTGTGAAATGCGCTGTCTCTGCAAGGTCACTACCAACACTATACAAGACAGAGTTATGAATGCCAGAATTATAGAGAAAGTTGGAATAAGACCATGTCTGATTTATAGTGACAGGCACAAAATTTAATGGTTTGGCCATCTAGTGAGAATGCAGCCAGACCAGACTGCACATGAGACTTTTTACAGTAGAACATCTGGGAGGAAGGCAAGAGCAATACCAAAAAAGATATGGATGAATGGTGAAACTGAAACCTGTAAAAAGATGAACAAATCCATCACTTGAGCAACCCGAGAAACTCAAGACAAATACAGAAAACCTCGACACTGGGCTACAACCTGGTATCAGTGAGACAAGAAAAGATGAAGAAGAATACTTTAATAATACACATAAATTCTGTAAAAGTATGAATACTGGTTTTATCCATGTTACAATAAGAGGGATACAGTAATATGTTATGACCACATACAAGAATTGTGGAAAGCAAGGTAGAGAACCACAATGCAAGACGAATCTTGGCACTTTTTGGGTCATGGTATGGTAGAGTCTTAGCACATGAACAGATTCTGCTGTTGGAGATTGTAGGATGAGGAGAGGCATGGTTACCCCTGCCGAGGTACTTAATGATAAGGAATACGGAAACAATGTGTTCAAGCACTATAATATAATGAATACCAGTAAAATGTGACTACATTTAGTAGCCGACTAATGCCTTACTAATGATACAATTTACTTTTTGAATTTTGAAATCTTTAAATTAATGACTATATGACATGGACAATGCAGTTGATGGAATTGCTTCATAGAATAAAGAGGATAGTAATGGAAATCATGGTTCCTTGTGAAAGTCCCAGGTAACTAAGGATTTGCTGAAACCAGAAGTTTTGGGTTGACAATTGCAGATATCACAGCCTAGCTTTAAACCACAACACAGTGTGCTATTAACCTTTTTACTGATGAATTCTAAAAAACTAAAAAGAAAAATGTTGAAGGTCCCCACCAGATAAGACAGTTCTTGAGTTTCTCCTCCTAGACATTCAATGATTTATGTTCAGTTATGTCTTTCCTTTGGAATGTATTTAATGAAGAGATGTGCTTTTAGAGATGAATGAGGAGAACATCATGGATGGGTAGAAGGTATAAGAAGATGTCATGATAGAAAAAAATTGAGACAACTGGGACAGTTCAAAAGATTATTTGTAAGAAACCGCAGTATCAGAAAGTGTGTTCACCGTGGGTACCATAGATTTAATGCAAAAGCATATGTAATAAAAGATGTAAAAAAAATTCGTTCAGTGAGCAACCACAATCTATTTTGTGTGTGTGTGTGTGTGTGTGTGCAGGAAGCAATCGTTGCTTAAAGAAATGGAATGCTCACATAAATACCATTTGGAAGGACTGACAAAGATACACTGCACAGTATACTCTTCATCTTGTGAAAGACTGCTTTTTGCGAGGACATCATCTACATTTAACTTCTCTAGTATATTTTCATCTGCTATTGTCAGACTTGTAGACTTGCTTAGGACATCCTTATGTGGATTCTAAGGCCACATTATTTGGAGAGGTGGGGCATAGACGTACTGACCACCTTATAAGTATGTCCTAAGAGTCTCCTAATTAGAGATGTTACCTTCAAAGATGAAGTGCATCTGCCTGAGTCAAAAATGAACCAACAGTCTGCATACAGATAAGCCAGATTTGTAACATGAATGAGAATGCAACACTCAAATTCTTTAACAAGACCAAAGTCCAGAAGTTGGCAAAGAACCAGAACTTTCCGCAGGAGTTTACAGCCAATGAATGCCATAAAGAAGAAGAAGTTGGTATTAGTTGCAGCAAGACGATGATTCACATCACAATCATGATGTACCATTTGGATGGTACTTTTTCGAGAACCAAAATAGAAATTTTCATCCCAGGTGGTCTTAAACTTTAATAAACTTGTGACCACAACCGGCATTTCAATTTGAGTCATCAATATCATCAGCATATATTTATTGCAGCTCAGATTTTATGATAAATTACATGGTTTTCAATTTACCAAAGAGTTAACAACAATTATTTGTCCATACCTTATCCTTTTTAGCATTTTTCCTTGCCTTCCACAGAAACTCACATACGGACAAGAAAAATCCAACCACCACACCGCCCATAAGCACCACAAAGACTCCACCAACATTTTCCACTCCCAGCTCCGCTGCCTTTCCTGTGGAAGTGCCCTCTTCTTCCGCACACTGACCTCCACCGAGTTCTTTCTTCCACCACTTGGTGTAGAGGTCATCGATCACCTGCTCCTCCTGTAGCCGCAGTATTTCCTCTGTCAGAACCTCCCGCAAGGATTCATGGGTAGGCCCCATTTCTGGCAGGGGGAAAAAAGTTGCATAAAGTAATAGTAGTTTAAAAACAATAGATCAGCCCATCTAAACTATAAATGTACTTTTTGATATTTAATCTTCTTCTGCCTTTCTAGGCCCAATGGAGCATAGGCCCTCAACCAACCCATGCCAAGACTTTCTATCCTTTGCTATTGTATGCAGCTCTCCCCATAAACTCCCTATCTTTCTAACTTCATTCTACAGCTCCCTTATCAATGTTTTTTTTTTTTCCTTCCTCTATTTGTATGCCCCTGTGGGTCCCAATACAAGGACATTCTAGTTATATTGTTCTCCGGTTTTCTCAATGAGTGTCCTATCCAATGCCAGCGTCTTTTCTTAACCCCATGGTCCACTGGAGCTTGCTTAGTTTCTCTCCCAAAGCTCTGCATTATTGATTCTAGCATACCATTTAATTCCCTCTATTCTGCGCAGGCACCAGTTAATGAATGTCTGTAGATTATTAGTAATTGCTTTTGTTGTTCTCCATGTTTCCTCTTCTTGTATTTCTAGTTGCCTCTTGTGGTTGACTGTATGGATCTTTACTGCCAGTTCTCTTAGCACTTATGTGGATGCACTGCCCTTAAAATTCTCCAGAATGTCTCCATTTCTAATGAAATAACAATGTTGGCATAATATACAGCAATATCAACATACAGTAAAACCTTGTTACTATAAGCGACAAAAAAAATCAAGAGTGTTTTTTCCCTTTGATTTGTGCAAATCGGGGACTAGAATTAACACATCCCTGCTGGGACCAAAATTTTCTTTATGTTAACCGAGTGTTCATTTTAAGAGATTTCATATTAATGAAGTTTTATTTAAGTTATTTATGAAGAAATTAGAGTTGTCATAAATCATAAAAACTGATCACCATACATTAGGTATCAATGTGAAGACCCTTACCTTGAGGGGTAGCAAATCCATACCCTTTGGAATCTAGCAGTCCACCGACTTTCATGAAATCACAGTTTCTGTGAAGGAATATGACCCATTAACAAAGATACACCAAATGTTGAGCAAAAAAAATAAAAAGAATAAACCAACTCAATCTAAGAGTAACATAATGGAAACAAGTTTAATTAAGAAACATAGGCACATACATGAAACATGACTTTAAGCTGTAAAAATAAAAAAATGAAATTGAAATTTTACTCTATACACAAAATAATATAAATGAAACCTACAGGCAAATAACAGGAACAAAGCAACATAAATTAATCAAGTTTAACCATCAAGTTTACCTTTCAGTTATCAGTTTTTAAAAAAATTGTTAAAACTAAATTTGGAGCTACCTAGATTAATCGTCACAGGAAGAGATATAGACAAAAAGAGGAGCGATACAAAGACAGAGAGAAGAGGCAGAGAGATACACGTAAGAGAGATGCCAGACAGACAAAGAATGAGATGGAGAAATACACTGATGAGATATAGAAGAACAGCCACAGGAAAAGACAGAAGATAGCTACAAAGACATAGGAAGAGATTCAGAGATAATAAACAGAGAAATGCAATTCATGCATTTAAGAAACAGAATAAAAAGAATTTAAAAAAAAATGTATATATATATATATATGTCTGTGTGTATGAATGTGTATATATATATATATATATATATATATATATATATATATATATATATATATATATATATATATATATATATATATATATATATATATATATATAGAGAGAGAGAGAGAGAGAGAGAGAGAGAGAGAGCAAATGACAGCTGAAGAGAGAGAGAAATGAAAGGGGGGAAAAGGAGAAACAAAAAATAGACAGAAATACAAAGACAGTCAGAGGAAGACATTGAAAGATATAATAGAGATAACTACAAAGACAGATAGAATAAGAGACAAAGTGATGAAAAAATACAAACAGAAAGAGGAAGAGACAGAGAGATACAAAGAAAAGTAATGCAAAGATAGAAATAGGAAGTTTAGAGAAATACTAAAATTAACAGAAGAAAATACAGGAGATACAAAGAGAAATACAGAGAGAGACAGAGAAAGACTAGTCTACTTCTTCTTCTTTGATCCTTCTATCAAAAAAAAATATATCAGGAGGCCAGAAGCCTTAATGAAAGCAACTGCCAAGTCCAGATCTACCCTATCTGCCACACGGCTTGGTTTTGATTGAGACTGGAACAGACTTTATGGCCCCTCTTATGGCAGCAGCAAATTTGGTGTAGGTATCCAACCACAGAAGACAGAAGTAATGGTGGTATCAAAGAAACAAATTATTCCTTAATGTGTAATAAAAGTTGATAGTGTTATTTTAGGACAAGTACAGAAATTTAAGTATCTGGGCACATGGAAGATGCATAACTGAGATAAGAAACAGAATAGGGCAGGCAAAAACTGCATTTTATAAAATGAAAAACATCTTGTGCAATATATCCTTGTCATTGGGAGTTAGAAAAAGAATTCTTGCTTGCTACATACATCCAGTTTTAACATATGGCTGTGAATCCTGGACAATAGGTAGGCAGGCACATTTTCTAGATGCCTCAAAGATGTGGTTTTACAGAAGAATGCTTAGAATACCTTGGACAGCCAAAAAAGAGCAACCAAGAGGTTTTGAAAGAGGCGGGAACCCGAAGACAACTTATCATAGACATCAGAAAGAAACAGTCATAATTTTTCGACCATGTTATGAGAAGAGGGAAAATAGAACATGTTGTGACCACTGGAAAGATCTGTGGCAGGAGGGATAGAGGAAGACAACGAGAGAGGATGCTTGACAGTCTTGTTGCATGGCATGGAGGTGTGTCGGCACATGAACTGATACATGCTGCAGGAGATCGCAGATTATGGAGAGGCATGATCGCCCACACCAGTTGGCAAGGCACCTGATGATGATGATGATCCAACCATCTTTCTTGGGTGCTAAGTTTTATTATAACAGTCTCCTGATGTGATAGGACACAGTTTGATTGCACTAATACACTGATGTTTCTTACCAGTCTGCTCACTACTTAATTGCCTTCCAAACCATAATGACCTGAAATCCACTGTGTGAAGATGCCATCAAAAGGCATCAGCCTCTGATCTGAAGTTTGAAGAATATGAGCCTTTTGGTGCAGACTGATAAATTGTTAAACCATTTAGGCATTCTGTGTTTATTCTTCTTCCTCCACTCCTTGTTGTTCTGTAGGCGAACAAGTGACAGAAAAGGATAGACAAAGGAGTGATAGAGTGATACAATGCCTGACAGAGAAAGGGAAAAAACTAAGAAAGAGAGGCAACTGACAGAAACATGCATCATATGTAAACTGACCTGTACATGACATACTCCGCAGTTGTGGACTCAGTGATGTAAGCATACATTCCTGTTTTTACACGAGCCTTGGCCTCCGTTAGGTTCTTCACAAAACTGAACTCTGGTGTGGAGTTCATGAAAGTCCACATTTTGCTATATGTTTCTATACGGCTATTCTGTCAAACACAAAGGAGCAACAAATTAAAACTAATGTATTTAAAATGTTAAATTACATAGCTTATTTTTGATTGTAACATGCAGCTTACACTTCTAAAAATGTTTAGATGGTAGAGATATGACTTCATTTCATGTATGTTACTGGGGCCCTATTTTGGAAGGGATAAATCAACCCACTCAGAGATCTGATTTATATAAATATGCAGACTGCGGGTTCCTCACCTCTCAGGCAGCTGAACTCTGAAGGAAACATCCCTAATTATTCATCTTTTATAACATCTTATTGGGGGAGGGGGGAAGAGGATGTAGGAGCTATCAAATCTACTCCCCAAAATGGGGCTCCAAAACCCAGACAAGAAAGGAAGCAGTCAATCTTCTTCAAAACGTGACCCAATCAATCAATCTTCTTCACTTCCTCTTTTTCTGCTTCATGTGTTATGGAAGGTATACGATTATATTTCTTGCTCTTCAGGCCGTCTTGACCACAGACACACTGTGCTGTTGTAAAGTCTCTCTGATATTATCTTTCCATCTTGTTCTTGGTGTACCCCATGCTCCACCCTTTTTTTGTCTTTGTATGTATATTAGAATTGGTTCTGCGCCAACTTGTTCTCTGATAACTTCATTCTTGATTTTATCTTTTCTGGTCACTCATGTAGCCCGTGTCAGACATCTCATCTCCATGTCTACTATTTTTTGTTGTTTCTGTTTGTTGTGAGTGACCATGTCTGTAACATAAAACTGGTCGAAAGACGTTCCACTAGCTGGGCCATCAGAGAAACGAGTTTATTTTCTGGACCCACTAGGAGCCCGACACACAACAGTTTAAGGAAAGGAGAAAGACATGAGTACATTTAACGATTCCACAACGTTTAGACTTGTCTCTTACATTTTCTGTACAAGACGGCATCTGTTTGGGGCCTCAAGATAATAACATTGACTCTTTGATGCCCTACGCCAAATACTTGTTGATTACTGTACAGAAGCATTGATAAACATTTTCCTTCTGGAAGAATTAGTCATTTAGTGATCTCTCTCTCTCTCCTCCTCCTCCTCTTCTTTATCTCTCTCAGTTTTTTCCTTCTTTTTTTTTCTTCTTATGTGTACATGTACCTCTCTTTCCCTCTCTACTTTGATGTGTGAGTGCTTGCGAACTGTTAATTATTATTAATTGTTGTCAAAACTAGCACTAGTATGTTTAAGTGTTTGTATGCATATATGCTTGACAATAGTATTTTATTTATAAATGTATGCTGGAACATAAGGCTAATGGTATTTGAGAGAAATATGATAACTTTTGTACACCATGAACACACGCGTGTGAGAATGTAGAGTGTAAGTAGTCCAGAACCCAAGTTTAAGGTGTCTCCTTCGTGCCAAAGAACTGCATGGTTGTGGTGTCCACAGTCGTTAACGAGGGCAGTCAGGTCGTATAGGGGTGACACCTTGCTGATGGGTGTTACGCCCCTGGCCTCTTCCCCAGCATGAGGGCACCACAGGGGTGACCGTTAATAAACCCTCATTACTTTCCAGTCAAAATGGACGCTAGGCAAGGTTACTGTTGTGAGCCGTGGCAAAATGTTTTGCTTCTGCCAGACGGTGGCATGTGCATTTTTGCTCTATTTGTAGATTGAAAGGATAGTTGTGTCGCCCAGCTTCTGAGTTGAAGCATGGCCTAACACTATGAGCTGCTGATTTCATTTGGAATGCTTTTCTACTGTGACCAATTTTGCGGATTGAATTGTAAATTTTAAAAATGGTGCGATGCCTGTTGTTGCAAATTTGGAGGTGCCAATATGTGATTAAAATTGATCACATGTGCAACTGCTGATCTGTTGGTGACTTCTGCTACCATCCATGATGAGCTGCATTTATAATGTCGGACTGTTTGTGTTAGCACTTCAGATGGCTACCTTATGCTTTTAATGTGTATGTATGCTAATACTAATGCATATGTTGAGACAGCAGTCTGTCAATCTTTCCACAAGGGACTGTGATAAATATTATGTGTGTTTTTAGTTGCCACAGAAGGGGAGCAACTGTGGGATGACCCATTTGCTATGAAGCTGAAACTAAGATTAGCAGATTACCAGATTACCAATCATGTAAACCAACCACTGTGCACATATACTTAAAACTACCTACCACAAAAAGCAATTCAAAGTCTAACTAGTGTCTTGAGCTCAGAGTGTCTTGTGCTCACTGTTGCTAGTGTCAATTGATAGAACTCAGATATAAAGCATTAAATTCATTAATTTGTTTTGTTTTTTGTCCAGGACATTTGAATGTGCATGATAATGGCAGGCTGATATTAGCTGCTGCCACCACTCTAGGCGTTGAGCTACTTTACAATAAAGCAGATGTGGTGAAGGTTCCCTAGAATCAAATAAACAGTGCAGCAGGAAACGGCAGAGCATCCAAATCTGATAAGACAGATTAACCTGGAGATGAGTAGAGAGTCTGGAGGAATTTCTACTTACACACAAAAAACAAAATGGGGTTGAGGGCAGGGAGAAAAAAAAAGGGGGGCGGGGGTAGGGGGAACCAGGTTGCAACTGGCACTCTCAGTATGGAACTCTCTGTTAGCTACTGGCGAATGTCATTCATTCAGTGTCTGATTTTTTTTAAAATAACATTCCAATCCACATTTTAAAAAAACACCATAGTATGCACACACACAAAAAAAAATAAAAACTAGTCTGCATAAAAAATAAAAAATAAAAACTCCTAGTCTGCAGTAAAAAAAAAAAAAAAACTCTATTGTGCATTATAAAAACACTGGTCTGCATTAAAAAAACACATTTTTACAAATAAATTCCATTAAGCACCACCAAAAAAAAAATACACTAGTCTGCACTAGGGAAAAAACACTATAGTCTGCATGAAAAAAAAAATTTGCATTTTTTTTTTCCACAGGAAAAAAGACTGAATACCTTCCATATGTGCTGTCTGAGACGCATCCTTGGTATATTATGGCGAGACCTTGTCTCCAATGAATGTGTGCTCACAAGAGCAAAAATACCATCAATGTATTGTATACTGAAGCAAAGACGTCTGCGCTGGCTTGGACATGTCTCCCGCATGGAGGATGGTCGTATTCCAAAAAATCTCCTATATGGTGAATTGGTAACTGGGAATAGACCTACAGGAAGGCCAAAGCTGCGCTATAAAGATGTATGCAAACGTGACCTAATAGATACCAACATAGGCACAGAGACATGGGAAAAATCAGCTGCAGATCGACTGCTATGGAGACAGAAAGCGAAAGACGGACTGTCACATTTTGAAAGAAACCGAACACAACGAGCTGTGGAGAGGAGGCACCGGAGAGTAAAACTGCCTCACAACAAGGGAGTATCTGCTTTTGTGTGTATCCTGTGTGGCAAAGACTGCCATTCCCGCATCGGACTTTACAGTCACAGCAGATGCTGTTCCCAAAGCCAGCGGCACATCTCCATAGTCCCCCGGGACTGACGGATGCCATTATCCATTTTCAGTCTGCATGAAAAAAAATGTGCATAAGAAAAACACTGGTCAGCATTAAAAAACATCTGTCTGCATAAACAAAATTGCATTTAGCATTAGAAAATGAAAACGCTAGCTTCCATAGAAAACCTCCAGCTCAAAAAAAAACAATACTTACTTTAAAGAATTCCATTGTAGCTCCTCCCTCAAATGTTCCATACTTAATTTTGGTTTGCTTAGCCAGATCATCGGCACTGTTGATGTCAGAAACCATCCGCTCAACAGTGAGGAAAGCTGCCAGATTGGCCGTGTACGAGGAAATCATGATGAGGGTAAAGAACCACCACATGCCGGAGACCATTCGAGTTGACAGTGCCCGTGGTGCTATCTCACATCCTGTTTTTAATCAGATTAGGATTATTTGTGCTAGATATACTAAACAGGGTTATTTCCTTTCTTCTTTCTGTCTTTTATATAGTCTGTTCTGCCTTTCAGAGGCGGGTTTTCAAGAGGCATCTGGTTGGAGCCTTGTTGTGTGTTATGAAGATGATGAAACAGGGGTGACTGCAGGCAAGCTAATACCAAGAAAATAATCCGATAAATTGTGACTAAAAAGGGGAGAAGGAAACAATGCTGATGAACCATACGAATCAATCTTATTCACAGTCATTCATGTGACATTTTGGTCGGAAATGGTGGTTGAAGTACTTCTCTCTTTGTTATTGCTGTGCAGTTCATGCTGAGAAAGGCTCCATCCAAAACAATAATTTGTTTGTTTTGTTTTGTTCCCCTTCCCCTTTTTGTTAAGCTTCTCAGTCACTGTTCATTTGAATAATTTCTGTGAAGGTCATGGTAGTCAGGACTTCAGAAATTCCATCTGCCCATCCCTTATGCTGGTTAAGTCTTGCTCTGATTTAAATGAGGTTAAGTGACAGGTCTCTCTCTGTGGTGCACTGTCTTGTAATAGACTTGTGTCCAAACCATTAGATCTGTTGTCTCATGATGTAGCTTAGCACTGGTAGCAATCGAAAAGACAGGTTTACTGCTGGTATACCAGAAATTAACACTTTTAGTTCCAGATAAGTGTGAATGGGAAAATATCTACAATAAAATCATAACCTAAGAAATACATTATAGAAACTAAACAAGGAGCGGAAGTAGCCATCAGAATGCAAGCTTCCATTATTCTGTTGAAGTGGAAAATGAAAAAAACTTCTTGTCATCACTTTCTACTTTACTTTTTCTGGTGTCAAAGAAGATATACGGTTCAGCTTCTTGCTCTTTTTGCTGCACTGACTAGCTCCTAATTAGTCTTCTTTTTTTCACATACTTGTTAGAAAGCAGCCGGTCTATTATGTCTCCTTCCCTTTCAAAACTGGCCTCAGGGCCTCTATTGGATTACTGAGAACAATCAATCACGTGATCTAAATGTAAACAGTCTATCATGTGATCTAACTGTGAACAATCTATCATGTTATCTAACTGTGAACAATCTATCATGTTATCTAACTAAGAATAATCTATCATGTGATCTAACTATAAACAATCTCCTATGTGATCCAACTTTGAAAAGTCTGTGATGTGATTTAAACATTCTATCAAACCAACCTTGCTGCATCAGAGAACCAATGGTGAACCAGAGGCTGTTCATGATTGTGAACTGATTCTCCACCTCATCCATGTCAGGGTTACAAGGGTGGGGGTTGCACCACTCGTAGGGGCTGAACCGAGCAATGACAAACAGCATGAAGCTGACACACAGGTAGGCTGCAATCATGTACACCCACACCTAGATACAGGAAACGATAAAACAGTCACTGATTACATGCATTTTTGTGAATATTATATCGTCATCACTACCATCATCATCATCATCACTGTAAAACTGTAAAAAGCACTGAGTGATTAAAACTGATACTTCACCTTTTGAAATGCATTTTCTTTTTCTCATTTAGCCTTTCCATCCCTTGAAGTTCACTCATGCAAATATCACCAGCCCTAATATATCTCCATGACTGGCCATCTCTTTCCAGCTTGTGACTGAAAGAGTTGGTAGTTCTACCTGTATACTATCTCTACACAGTGTTCTTGGTATTCCTCATTGTCAGAAGATAGTGAATCAGTGTTGAATCAAAAAGGGATGCAAGTGTTAATCATTTCGAACTTGTGAAGGTATTGAGGACCCTAGCTCTCAGGTCAGAGATCATTGCTTGGGCTAATATCTTAGCCAATAATTCATGAGCTGTTATGGGACTGACTTGACTAACTGTTGAAGATTACAGACATGGCATACACCCATTCAACTCTTTTGGTGTGCAGTCTTTGTCTCTCTGTTGTTAGCAATTCTCTCTAAATACCCCAATCAGTGCACTTGCCAAAAATAAAAACAGTAAGCCTGTCTGCCTGCCATATTTACCAGAAATCATTTATTGTTGATGCAGTACTCCATAATTGTGTGGGAGATATCAATTAGTGTCTATGTGGTTTTAAATTTTAAGCGCGCACTGTATACATTATTGAAAATGTGTTAATATGTAGAGAATCCTTTTCCCACCAGTGGTGAATCAGGCATATTATGCTACTGTCATATTTTTGTTGACCATTCTGCACTCAGTAGGTTTTGTGGTGAACATCATTGCTGGCTACTTTTACTTCTTGGGACTTTTATATAGTGTCCATTTTGGACTGAGTCAAATTTGGTGTCATCTTGCCAACGACATTTTTTTAAAGAAATCTGACTAAGTGTGAACTCAAACCCAAGATATTCATGGCTAGTAAGCAAACATCTAGCCATTATGCCACCATCAGTTTCATGAAATTGGGTAGTTTACATAAAATGGTAACAGCATCAAAAACAAATAAATAAACTAGAATACATACATCTGCTGATAAAGGGGAGAGAAATGAGAACAGATTCAATGATTTTGGTGCTGGCTTCTTTATAAGGATGGTAATTCCTGTGGTCAGAAAAGGCTTTGTGAAGTCAACAACTTTCTCTCTCTTTAAGTTGATGGTTAGATCACCAATTCCAATATTAGCTTTCTGGAAGAAAAAGAAGAAGAAAACAGCATATCTGAAATGAAACTGGTGTCATTATCCTAAATATTCATGAATTCCACAAACCAATATTTATTTAAGCATTTTACATCATAAAAGGTTTTGGAAATCTCATAAAAACTGTGTATGGCCAACTTTAAACTAACAGTTGGACATTTCTTAAAATTAATGATAGCGAAATCATAACAAGAGTGATGAGATGTTTTAAAAGTGCTATCCGAATAACATGAAAAGATAAAATAAAAACTGAATAAAGTAGCAGAAAACAAGGACTGAAACCAGTCATACATTTCATTTATCAAAAAGCAACAGATAAGATGGTTTGGTCATTCAACATGAATGGCCTGGTACCAACTGTCACAGAGAGCTGTGCGGAATAAATGTAATGAAGACAGATCAAGGGCAAGAGAAAAAGAATGTCTTCACGAACAGACTTAACCCTCTTCAAATCATCTGATTTCACGGGAGATTCCACAGTGAAAAAATAACCACGATGAAAAACTGTCCAAGCATTTCTTTCAAAGTTGCAATTTACACAGTGCCGCTGACCACTAGGACAAGCCAGATTGCTTTAGTGTGCTCTGACCAACAATTAAAAACTAAGAGAGCACACTGTGCAATGGAGAGAAATAGATTCTCAACACAACAAAATGCTTGGGACATAAAGAGAAAAAGAAATGAAGATCAACTTATAAACACATTAGACAGAACGAACATCCATGCACAGACACCAACATATGCCCACAACCACACATTTACACTTACATGAATACATACACCCACATACATGCATGCATACATTCACAAATACATGCATACACACACATACATGCATACACACACACATTTATACATACACTCACATCTTTACACACATACATACATACCTAAATACACACATATACACCCACATACTTACACAGCCAAATATGCATACATACATCCACCAACATGCATACATACACACATAGGTACATACATACATGCATACATACATGCCCACACACATTACATACATACACACACAAACAGAAGATCCTTTAATCTCTCTATAACACTTGGATGAGGTAAGTGGAGGAAGAGAAGGAGGAAGGATAGAAGAGAAGGAAGATGTAAAACATTTTTTACCGTTGTAAGTTGGCTGTAATTGTGTTTGTTTACAGCAATATTTGTGGATTTGGCCAATGTATCTGACTTTTTCGCACCTTTTATTCACTTCAACAACCACCAATGTAAAGAGGGACAGCATGATACTACTTGTTCTATTTATTCTCCCCAAGACAAGTCAAGACCGCTATGGAATCTGTGATGCTACACATATCTTCCACAGTTTTTAAAGCTTGTGGAATGTATTTAAGGCGTGTAGAGAGCACGTTTACAGCATATCTTCAGTACGATAAAGGCCACATCTATTAACAAATACTGACTTGCCTGTATGATGCCTGCAAATAATTTCCTTTACACCTCAAAGCATAAAAATAGGTCCTAATGTATGTTATCTTTACTTTACATACTTTACCAAGTTATACAAAAAACACATTATTCAATATTATAAGCATTACTTACTTCATCCAGTGATACAATAAATACTGGATCCCAGTTTAAAAGCAATATTGTACTTTCTTCATCCATTTGCATTTAAAATAAATACTTGATTTTTCAACACAGAATAAAAATTATACTTCTTCACAACAACAACTTACTCAGTATCAACAACAGCAACAACAGCAACAAAAACAACAAAAACAACAAAAATGTGACCGGAAAGAAAAGAGTTAAAGTTCAAACAAATAATTTTTCTGTAATAAATGTGCTTAAAAAAATACAACTTACGATAAAATATTTACTTTCTTAATACAAAATTAACAGCACATTTAAAAAAAAAAAATTTTTTAAAAAATTTTAAGTTAATGCTTACTTTAAAGAATAAAAAGTAAAATTAAAAAAGTTAAAAGTGCCTCATGAAAAAAAAAAACCCACTTACTTTGAAAATGTAACCCTTACTCCAGAAAATAAAAATCACACTTACTCCAGAATGCCCAAAAAACTCAAACATGCTTACTTTAGCAAACTGACCCTGTTAATCAGAACTCCCATGACTCCGTCCCAGGTGCCATTTGGCTGAGGTTTGCCCACTGTCTGCTGCAGCTGAATCTCCCAGGTAAAGTTCCGAGCCTTGGCAATCATATCCAACAATTCCACACAGAAGCCAAAGAAACCCGACGGGTGCGATGAATTCACAATCACATAGGGTTCAGTCTGAAAGGTAGTGGAAATGACACAATCATTAATTATGGAGTGAGTACCTTACCTCAATCCGTACCAGTTCAACGTTCAAGTGTGTGTTGGGTTCTACATTATTTGTATATCTTTTCTATTATATAATGTAAACTGATTATTACATTATCATTCATCACATCTTATTATTTATTACATTTTTACGATTTAATTATTAATTGCTGTGGAGTAGCGGCTAAACGCTCGCATACGGAACGGGAGTTCATGAGTTCAGGTCCTGAAAAAGCTTGACTTTTTCAAAAATGATGCTGTCTCTCAGGTTACCCCATCTCAAATGGGTCTCTGGTGTGGTCATGGGAAGTAAAGGTGGCTGGTGTGATTTAAACCACAACATCCACCAAATGCAGATTGGTTTATAAAGTATAGGTCTAGCCCTATACACCCAATATACCTGAAAGCATCTCTTTTTATGATTTAGTTAGTATTTATTAGATATGTATTATTTATCATATCTATAAATATATTTATTGTTTATCATACATTCATTGTTTATTATGTAGATATTTATTTATTGTTTATTGTATATGTATTATACATTTATTGTGTCATTCTCATTATCATCGTAAACCACTTCTCTTATTAAGCATTGTAGGGAGGAATAATTTGCAATACAGTGTGCATTGGCTGGCACTGACTACTATCATGTTGAGAAGGCGTAAAGTGCCTTTAATGTTGTTAAACCACACTTTTTAGGCCATAACTTTGCTCTTGTAGCTGATACTTTGGATCTTTTTTCCAGGCCATGCTGGTGTGGTGGGGAATTAACAGGCAGACATATTAACTGGATCTGCACAACTGGGTGATGAATTGATGCATGACAGGACAGATGTGATCAGGGCCCTTTGGGAAGAGGCAACGGAGCCAGAAACAAAACAAGATTGGTATGGCCTAGAGAGAATGGGCCACCAGGAGGTTTGGCTAGCTCATTACATTCAGAGGAAAGGCAAGACGGACATACAACCAGAATGCGACTGGTACAATTAGTATTAGAACTCTGCACTGGCTGCTGAAGAGGAGGAAAGAGCATGCATGGGAATGCTCTGAGTGCTGTGATGTTAATTTCTGACTCATCTCAACAAAACTCTTGCGGCTGATCTTCTTAAATTTAGTGCCTGTGATGGTATCTAGTGTTGATGTATTCTAACTAGATGGCCAAACCATTTGATCTGCTGTTCCTCGATGAATCTAGTACAAGGTATTCTTTCGGCAGTATGAATGATATATCAATATGTAGGCTACTTTGCATTGATTTTGACATTTGTATAGAGAATCAACTGTTCAGATAGCAGTGAAAATCTACTAAATATATAAGTGCCTATTGAATTCAAGAATCCAAAATGTACAATGGTTGGTTCTGCAACGTCTTGTAAAGAAAAGGCAGATAACTTTTTTTTTTGGCCTCATCAGTCCCAAGAAATGCAGGAGATGTCATTTGGTTTTCCCCCAAAAATGAAACCAGTGCATCATGCTTTTACTTCTTATACTTTGTCACACAACTTTCTAAGAAAACTGGCCTTCTTCTTTAGTCAGTTCATTGTCTATCTGCCCTTTTGAAAAGCAACTGACACCTGATTTTTCATAGTAATCACCTCCTTCTCTTCCCTTAGAGTCACCTGACAAACCTTCTTCTACTTAAAGAGTTCCCCTCCGCCACGCCCCCCCCCCCCCCAAAAAAAAGTCCCCTAAGTTCAAAAAAGGACCTTACCAAGTAAGTGGACACGATGTATTTTCTACCAGAGATGGTGTTGTTAGGTTCTTCCGCAGTCAGAGTAAAGTTCAGACCTTTCACTCGATCCCATGTTCCAGCCTTAAAACAGAAAAAAGAAAAGAAAACATTTGATTTTTCTTCTTCTTTGTTTGTTTTTCCATAAATTAATTTATATGTAAGTGTGCTGGGGTGTGTATGAGGGGTGCATGTTTAAGCATTTGTGTGTGCGCGTTTGTGTGTAAGTATATGCATGTATGGGTGTGTGCAAGTATGAACGTGTGTATGTTTGCGTGTATGTAAATTTATAATTATGTATTTACCATCCGTGCTTTTACATTTTTCACCTTATACATACTATGAATTTTGCTATATGAACATACGATGCTCTGTAGATACAAATACGATAGATGTGAGTTTGAGAGGCTGAATGTAAGATGGGCCTGTGTGCCCGATTTGTGACTCTGCTCTTGTTTTAATTACCTTGGTGAAGATTTCAGAAAGATTTAAAGAACTGTATAATATTTCTAATGCAGTGACAAAGATCAAGTCCATATTCGTGCCAGGATATGCAGATGTAAAAGGAAATGAACAAGCTGACAAGTATGCTTACAGCTAAGGCTTATACGGAGAGCAATATGGAGAGCAAATGGGCAATAGACAAGGTTGATTTATTGAATGCTCTATATCAGTGGCTCTCAATCTTCCTAATGATAATGCCGCGACCTTTTAATAAATTTTCCTCATGTTATGGCCACCCTCAAACACTTATTTTCTTTATAACTTCAATAAATATGTGTTTTCGGCTATCCTCCGAAGACGGTCCTAAATTATTAAGGCCGAAAATATACCCTAACAGGGCCTCAGTTACGTGTAAATTGAGAACTTCCGGGGACAATACCGCCACCCCCGAATGCAGACTTTCGGCGACTTCCGTCACCGATGAGTTTTCTCCACGCCGCACACGCGAGCTGCTGCTCGTGAGTCCCAGCCAGCGGCGTGTGGGATACACTCGGCGGTTGCGGATGTCGCTGGACGTGCGCAATGTAAGTCGCCGTAAGTCCACACTTGACATGTGACTGAGGCCCTGTTAGGGAATGTTTTCGGCCTCGATAATTTGGGACCGTTATTCGGAGGATAGCCGTGTTTTCTGACGGTCTAAGGCGACCCCTGTGAAAAGTTCTTTTGACACACACACAAAAAAAGGGTCGCGACTGGCACGCAAAGAACCCCCGATTTACTGCATGTGTTTAAATTGAAATGTACTTATAAAAATCATAAATACAAAATGCCTAACCTTCTTGAATTCGTTCTGTGTGAGATAAATAAGGTCAAGTTGAAAATCCAATCTCTCTCCATTTTCAAAGCTGACTGGGCCAGACAATCCCTCAAATTTTATCTGAGACATAAATGGTGAACTAATATTGAAACATAACTCTTTAGTATAACAATGAAAAAAAGCACTGCAAAATAATAGTGCTTCAAAGTATTGAACTGTATAAAATGAAGCCTAATAACACTAAAACATTATGGTGAAACATAAAACTGGTAAAACATAAAACAGTATGAAACAAAAATGCCGACACATAATATTAAAATACTTGTATAAAGGATTTTGTAACACTGAAACATAACACAAATATAAGTGGGAAACAAAGCACTGAACACAACAATTAAATAACACTAAAACAAAAAGAATTTTACAATACTGAAACATATTTATTTATTTATATAAAATAGATGATTGCAATGACTTTGATGGTTGGGGCTTATATAAAGAATAATAGATACCAGAGAGAGAGGGGGGGGTGGAGAGAGAGAGAGAGAGAGAGAGAGAGAGAGAGAGAGAGAGAGAGAGAGAGAGAGACGCACGCAAGCACGCACACATACAAAGAGTTAAATGGGATTAGACTATGAGGCAGAAGAAGAAGAGAGTGAAGAGAACATTCACAAGCAGACCCATAAACACTTGGTGTCACAAACTCATCATCATCATCATTTCTCATTTTGCCTAGTGGCACATGAGGCTTTAGAGAGCACTTTCCATGTCTTACTGTGCTGTGCAATCTTTAGTGCAGTTTTTCATGTCAGTTCACTTTTAATCGTTCATGCCCATGTTGTTTTTCGGCGCCCCTTCTTTCTCTTTCCCTTTGGTGTCCAAGTAAGAGCTGTTTTGGCGGGTATTTCAAGCTTCATTCCCATGACGTGGCCAAAACAGTGCCATCTTCTCTTGGTTGTCATACCGTGTCGAGTTTCTTGATTTGTGATTTGAAGTAGTTTTGTGTTTAAGATTGTATTTGGCCTGAACATTTTGATAATTCTACGTAGACGTTTGTGATGGAAGGTGGATAACTTGTGCACATTTGGGAAGAGGCCCCCCTGGGGGGGGGGGGGGTTTTGCTCTATAAAGAAGAACTGCAAAATTATGCTCTCGTAGAATCGGAGTTTTATTCCTCTGCAGCAAATGTTGGATTTCCATATTTGCCTCATCCTTTCAAAAGCGGCTCTAGCTTTGTTCAAGCATAATTGTATGTCTTTCTCTGTCCCTCCAAGTAGGGACAACACACTGGCAAAGTAATTGAACTGTTTTACATCTGTAAGTGTGTGTTTTTTTTAATGGTCATTGGTTGTTGGTTTTGATTGTTTGTTATGATCTTAGTTTTCCTTGTATTTATTCTCAGTCCTACCATTTCTGCTGTGTTGTGTAGTCTGTCACTTTTCTCTTGTATCTGTTTATGTTTCTGTGATAGGAGTGCTGTATCGTCTGCAAAATCAAGGTCCTCGAGCATGCTAAATGGAGTTATCGTATACCTCTCGATATCTTGTCTACTGTGTTCTTTAGTAGCCAATCAATCACAAGGTTTAAAAAAGAGAGATGACATAACACATCCCTGTCTTACACAAGTTTTTACTTGGAAAGATGTGTTGTAATTTTTTATACGGCCGGAGAAGTCATTACAGAAGAGACCAATTATGTTGACTATCTTTTCTGGGGTTCCGTTATGTCATAAAATTTTCCAGAGACTGTCTCTATGGACGCTGACAAAAGCTTTTTCAAAGTCCACAAAATTAATATATAGTTACTTCTTTGCCATTCATTGCATTGTTCTAAAATGTTGCATAGGGTAAAGAGGTGCTCACTGTTTCTTGGCCTTCTCTGAATCCTACCTGTTCTACTCGTAGACATGTATCTACTCCTTTTTTTTTTAGCCGCATTGGGACGATTTTACAAAATAATTGTGCTTGGTACTGAGAGTAGAGTGATTCTCCTTTAATTATTGCAATCTGTTAAATGTCCTGTGTGTGTGTGGGAGGCGGGGGGGGGGGGGGTGGGTGTTGCCAATTGTTCCTTCAGTCCAGTCATCAGACAATATTTCTGTTTTCCCAAATATCTGTGAACAAAGGTCCTAGAAGGCTGGCAGTTGTTTTGGGAACTACTTTGAGAAGCTCTGCTGACAGTTTATCTTTGCTTGGCGCTTTATTGTTCTTTAAAGTGTTGATAGCTTTATGGATTTCGTGTCTGCTTGGTGGTTCAATATTATTGCCAAGGTCCTGCGAGGCTGGTTGAATATCTGGGGGATGTTCAAGATTAGGTCTATGCATGTTTTATTTGTGTTCTGTGGTTATTGTTTGTGTTCTGTAGTAAGCAATTTGCTTTGGTTTTTTCCTGTTTCTGCTTCCGCAAATTTGTTGGGTGATTTTGTTTAGGATTTGTAGAACATTGCTTTGACAGCATTTTCAGCTGTTTCTGCTAGATTGTCCACAAATCTTCTCCTGTCAGTTCTGGCACTTTTATTTACTATTTTATTTAGTTCTATATATTCTAACATTAGTTTGTCTTTCTGATGTTTTATTTTAGTGTTATTTATTAGGCTCTTTTTTCTGTTTCGCTTGGTAATATAGTCCATATTTTGACTTCTTATCCATTTTTGTGTGTTGCTTCTTGGTTCCTAATATATTGTTGCTGGTAGTGTTATGCTTCTTTGATCTGGTTCCACCTGTCTTAAAGGCTGACTGTAGTTGGAATGTCTGGGTCATCTGATAGGGTTTGAAATCCGTTCTTGATTTCCACTATAAATTTCGTGGCAATATCTTTTCTCGTAACAGGTTGACATTGTAACATGCTGCCTGTGTCTTACTTAGCTTATGTGTGCACTTTCTTGAGTTTCAGTCGTAGTAATGCAACTACGAGATGATGATCGCTACCTACATCTGTTCCCCTTTTGACATGCACATCAAGTAGCGACCAACGGTATTTTCTGTTTACTATAAAATGGTTGATCTTGTTTCAATCTCTTCCATTTGGGGATATCCATGTAAACTTGTTTATGTTCGTGTGAGAAAATAGTGTGCCTCGTAAAACAAGTAATTTCGTTGTGCAGAAATCGATCAGTCTTTCTCCGTTGTCATTAATTGTACCACATCCTTGCTTACCCATTAATAGTTCTCTGTTTAAGCTGTTGTTACCAACTTATGCATTGAGATCTCCCATATTGAATAGAATATCAGGGGCGGGTACTTTATACTCTACCTCTTGCAGTCTCCTAAAAATATTTCTTTATCTTTGTCTTCAGCTTCATTAGTCGGTGCGTAGCATTGGATGATAGTAAGTTTGGCATGTTTCTCATTAATTTGTGCTGTGATAATTCTTCAATTGATTGGATGCCACTCTATCAGATGTCTGTGTATATAAAGGACCCTTTTACACGCCTTCAGTCTTATAGGGCATATATGGCTAGACCTATATTTTATAGACCAATCGTCCCAAGATGAGTGCTGTGGTCAGCGTCACACCGGCCGCCTTTACTTCCAGGGACTGCACCCCACTCAAGGCTGGGTCGACCTGGGAGCCAAGGTTATTTTTGAAAAAAGTACGGCTCCGCCAGAGAGCGATCTTACGACCTTCCGATGGGCGGCGAGCATTTTGCCGCTCCGCCACGGCGACTCCCGATGTCTGTGAATACTTTTCTTTAAAATGAGTGCCACGCCTGCAGAATGTAGGTTATCATCTTTTTCAGAGCACATAAAGTTTCTCCTGTACCTGTAGTGGATTGTCAAAAACCTGTTCACCTGCTTTCACTGATTCCTCCCATAAAATGCAATTTATAGTTCTACATTTCTTTAAATACTTGTGCGGTTGGAGTCACAAACAGGAATAAACACACCAAACAAAGAGACAATGAAAGTTGGGTGATATTTTGAGCTAACAATCTCAAGGGCTCAGAATGAAGAAAAAGGAGGAGAAAAAGGATAGATAATTGCAGAAGTGAAAGAGACATCAAACAGAGAATAGCAGTGGCCAAAAAATGAAACTCTGAAACATGGAGCACAACTAAAAGAGATGAAGCCTTGTTACAGGTTTTCGAAAACAGAATCTTACGCTGAATCTTTGAACCCATCAAAGATGCAAACAGCGGGGAATAGAGAGTGAGAAGCAATAACGAAATTCACAATCTGTTTAATTCACCACTGATCAATGGCATCATGAGAGCTAATAAAATGATATGGTTGGGGCATTTTAAATGAATGTCAGACGACAGAGAAGTAAAAACTATACACAAGGAAGATTAATGGTCGAAGACCACGAGGCAGACCAAGAAGAAAATTGAGAAATAATGTCCTGATAGACCTGCAAACACTTGGTGTCAAAAACTCGAGAGAGAAGGCCAACCAGAGAGATGAATGGAGGCTGGTGATATCTGCAGCAATGAACCTCAAGGGCTCGGAATGCTGAGGAAGAAGAAGTGGCCAAAAATATTTTCAAATTGTTTTTCCTGTTGTTTTTCGAGCAGTATTAAGCAAATTCTTGTAACAAGTCACTGTTTTAACCACTGTCAAATGTTTGTCATTCCTGTGGCACCATTTTTGAAATAGCATGAATAATTTTCCAGAAATTTCTATGAATTGTAAATTTTGACATTAAGATATTTCAAAATAACAACCTGTGGCTATTTCTGAATAATTAATTGAGAATATGACGTACTGAAAAATGAACATTAAAAAAAGTTATGAACTTACATGTAGAGACAGAGACACGCACGCACACACACTGCCCCGCCCCCTCCATAGGTATTATGAGAATATGTGTGCATGCATGCATTATGTGCATGTGTGTGTATGTGTGTGTGTATATAAAACTACACATTCATACACACATAGTTACATATACACACACATATATGTATAGCTTCACACAACAAATAAAAAGAAGGAATATAATGCTCGCCCTATGTGTCTTATAAATCGCACAACAGAACGACGGTGATGATGTTGGCGTCTGAGAAGAAAAGGATGCAAAGAATGGAAAGGTTAACTGTACCTCAGAACACAATGGCTTTGAATATATAAAGTGCAAATTCATATCTCATTATTTATGTATATAATTTGAACTCTTATTTTAATGAATTTTTAATTGTGACATTATTTATCATCTAACAATACCTGATAGATACATTACATGTTAATGATGGCGAATTCATGTAAAAGTTCTCTTTTAAGTATGGTTTATATATTTCATATTATTTCAGATGTATTATTATTTTTATTTGGCCATCCAGCCAATATTATTAATAATAACAATTAATATTACACATTAACAAGACTTATTTTCCTTGAGCCAAGAAAAATTGTAAAGTATGTGGATCTTTCCCCACCTACGTTTTCTTTGTGTTGGCGCACCTGTAGAGTCAAAGACTATGCGTTTGCGCACCTGGGCAGACTTGTACAGTAAGAGACTATGCGTTTGCGCAACTGGGAAGACTTGTAGAGTAAGAGACTATGCGTTTTCGCACCTGGGCAGACTTGTAGAGTAAGAGACTATGCGTTTGCGCACCCGGACAGACTTTTTGAGTACTACTTCTTCCTTCACACATTCTTACACATGTTATTACATCTAACTTCGTGTCTTTTAATAACATTCGTTTATGTACGGTCTTCAGAATATCTCCGTTGTCCAGTACCAGTGTTCCCTGAGTTTTCGCTTTTGTTATAAGAAAATCTGCTCTTTCATTCTCTCGCACACCTGCATATCTAGGACAGTATATCTACGCGGTTCCCTGCAATGTTGGTGTACTGATGCATGGTATCCACTCATGTCACATTTGTCCATTGGGAACCTTCCGCAGTACCGACTGAGAATTCGACACAATATTTCCTCTGCTAACTTGGTTTTGTGCTATCCACATTAGAACTGCAGTGATTGCCATCACTCCTGAGCGCTTAGGGACTGAATGGTTCGATGTACAATGCTGATATAAACAAGCAACGCAATAAGTAGAGAAAGAAGATTATTATGGCTTGGAGAGAATGAGGCACCGTGGTGTAACCGGTGGGTCTGGCCGGCTCAATACACTAAGAGGAAAGGCAAGACGTACATTTAACCAGATTGTGACCGGTACCATCAGCATTAGAACTCTGGGCTGGCTGCTGAAGATGAGGACAGAGGAATGCCCCGAGTGCTGTGATGTAATTTCTTGACTCAAGTCAACTCAACTGAGGAAATAATCTGTCAACTAACTAACCAACCAACTAAGTAACGCTAAACCCTTGATATAAAAATTTGTTCCACCCCCCTTCCCCCCCCCCCCCCCCCGAGTTTCGCATACTATCTCATCATCATTGTCATTATATGATTTTTCTTTTTAGAAAAAAAGGTGTCTGTTCTCATCATAGAGTGTTTAAAAAAAAGGGTTCCAGTACTCATAACAGTCTGTTTCAGTACAGCTCAAAAAGCAGGCACTGGTACTTTGCAAGGCCAGAACAAAAGCTCTGGTCATAACCTTGTTGGGCCATGAAATGTTACAAGGAGTTCGCATACTATGTGTCCATTCCGTTCTATACTATTCAATCCATTCAATATCATGGATGGAATCCAACCCACTACTTTATCCTCTCCCAGTAATGTCCGTTTAAGAGTTTCTCTTGGGTGTCCTCGTTTCCTGAATCAATATGTTTCCCATTTCAGTGCTTGTTTGGTTATTCTACTAGTTTCTTATCAGAAATATCTCTTTGCAATGAGATGGGAATATCAAGAGATTGAAGAACAGCAATCTGAGCGGGTATACAACCAGTCAGTGAGTAAAACAGAGAGAGAGAGAGAGAAAGTGAGAGAAAGAGAGAGAGAGAGTAAGAGAGAGAGAGTAAGAGAGAGAAAGAGAAAGAGAGAGTTTGTGTGTGTTGTTGCACGTCACTATTTTATTTTAATACGAATAGTTGATTCTGTGAGTTGTTCACTATATGTCTCTCCATAGTTTTACATCTCATGTATTACAAATAACTTCCGCTTTGCTACCCTCTCTTCCCCTCACGACCCCTCCCCCTTCCTTATTCCTCTTCTTCTTCTTCTTGACCTCCTTTTTTTTAGCACTTGGGGCTTTGGGGAAGATATAAGGTTACGCTTCTTAAACGCCCCTCAGTTTTTTTTTTTTTTTTAGTATTAACCAACTCATCGTACATTTCTTGATATTTGCTAAGATCATAGATCATATGACGTATCTGCTCCATTTTATCACATATGAATGTTATACTAACCCGTTGTATATGAATTACTAGTTCAACTACTTCTGTCCTACAGAGTCTCTGTTGAACTCCTTCAGACCCAAGTTTTATACTATATTTAAGCACCATTTCTTTGAATAGACAGAGCTACAGTAACAACAGTATGGGACTGAAAGAGTTGAGCGCCTCACCCTCTCAATATTTGTAAACTGGCTGAACCCCTCCGTACCCCGCGCTACCCACCATAAACTGACTTCCCCCCCCCCCCCCCCCACCGCACCAACGACCATGACTGCAAAAGTTTAAGTGAACGTTGTAGTGGTAGCTTATATAATCCAGTAGTCTTTGACTCAGTAGGGTTATATATATATATATATATATATATATATATATATATATATATATATATATATATTTATATATATATATAATTTCAGTATTTAATAGTTCAGCTTATCGATAGCCTTTGGTTAATTACTTTTGCATAAACAATGTATTAATTGTAAATGTAACAAATTGTAGGAGGTAAGGTTGTAAGATATATTTCGACAATCATTATACTAATTATATTGTGTAGTCTTCTAACTTTGGATATATTTAAAGTGATCTGGAATATCATTATTCTGTCTAAACATACCATTATCACTTTATATGCAAACCGAATGTCATTTAATTATATTCTGGCTAAAGCTATATATGCCTAGTTTTAGTGAATAATAATAATACATGTAAAAGTATAACCGGAAAAAAATGCAATGTGCATAAACAGGAATTAAAAAGCAAAGTGATAACTACCATACAAGGCTAGAGAGGGATCAAAAGAGCTTCTTTACGTATTTAGCTAGAGGACCCCCCCCCCCTCCTCCTTTATGTTTTGGGAGTGGGAGGGGCACTGCGGGGAGGGGGGGGGGAATCAGTATTCTGAAACGCCATTGTTCAGCTGGCTGGGTTAAAATTATTGAAAAGAACGGCGCTACGAGACTCTTACCGATTTCATGTGGTTGAGTAAACTGCTTCCGTGAATCCAGGGAGAGGCCTTGTCACACGACAGAACTACAGCATTGACATCCTGGTATGAATGCACGGCCCTGGCGAACAGCTCGTATGCGTCATAGACTAAAGCTGTTTCTGTCTGCATACGTTTAAAAAAAAAAAGAAAAATATGGTAAGGAAATTTGCACACATCCTTGGTTTTTGTGATTCCTGTGTTGGTCTTAACACCAGCTGGTGCAGAAAGGGATTTGGGGGGGGGGGGGGAATAGATCCACTGCTCTCCTAATAAGCATGTCGTTAAATGCTACTTATTTAGGATTTTCCCTCTGAAATCAGAGTGCATCTACCTAAGAGGCCAGGAATCAACAGTCTGCAAACAGGAGAACCAGTTCTGCAAAATGGATGTTCACGCAGTATTCAAGTTCCGGAACAAGATTCAAGTCCAACAGCGTCAATAGTGGACGAACAACCGGAATTTCCCGCCGGAGTTTACAACCGGTGAGCGCAGAGAAGAAGACAAAGACTTGAAATCGTGTGCTACTGCTGGAGAGTGTCCTCGTGGCAAAGTGGTTATGCTGATTTATCATGTGCTTTGAAGGTTATGGGTTCATTTCATAGCTGTTTCGCTCGGGTCACGAACGCAATTTTTAACACTCTCAGCAGGCAGCTGGTCGTTCAGCGGAGATTGAGAATCAGCTGTATGAGATAAAGCTCGATGCAATGAAGTCGATGCTCTCAATTTTACCTTTTACTTTGTTTATACTTAAAAAAGTGAACAAGGAAACTAAGAAATCTTGGTTAAATTGAGGCAGGAAAGAGAAACAGTGAACGAAATTTATTTTTGAAGGGTCAAAGATTGATCAGGTACGCACATTATACATTCGGCCTTTCCAAACACTCATCTTTTATACAGTAGTTGAATTTGATCTATAAAGTATGTGTTTTTTCACACACACACACACACACACACACATAATCACACACACATATGCGCACATATATGGGTCAGATGGAATTTGTAAGTGATGTGTTTTTAGTAAAAACGTTTTAAAAAATTGTTATACATGGCTAGAAAAGTGTGTGGTTAAGGAAGGTGGGAGGGGGGGGGGGCGAATTATTCCCTTACAGTGTGGGAAAGGTGTAGGCGGCACATAGTATTCATTTATACCTTTTATATAGTAATTTTAAATATCTACAAAGTATGTCTATATATATATATATATGCGCAAAAAGGATGCTTGAAGTGATTTGTCTGCAGCTACAACGTTTAAAGTAAACTTGCATACATGGTTGTGGTGGTGGTGAGGAGTGGTGCAGCTAAGTCCACTTACAGTGTGGGAAAGGTTGTGGAGGGTGGGAGTGACTAGTCGGCTCAGTTTGGACAACCTCCCCGATGCCGGTGCACCTAGCCAATAATAAACTTACAACTCTCCATGTTCTTCTTCTTCTTCTTCTTCTTCTTCTTCTTCTTCTTCTTCTTCTTCTTCTTCTTCTTCTTCTTCTTCTTCTTCTTCTTCTTCTTCTTCTTCTTCTCCTCCTTCTTCTTCTTCTTCTTCTTCTTCTTCTTCTTCTTCTTCTTCTTCTTCTTCTTCTTCTTCCTCTTCCTCTTCTTTTTCTTCTTCTTCTTCTTTTTCTTTTCTTTTTCTTGTTCTTCTTGTTCTTGTTCTTGTTGTTGTTGTTGTTGTTGTTGTTGTTCTTCTTCTTCTTCTTCTTCTTCTTCTTCTTCTTCTTCTTCTTCTTCTTCTTCTTCTTCTTCTTCTTCTTCTTCTTCTTCTTCTTCTTCTTCTTCTTTGCGTTCAAATTCGTTTGCTCAGATCAGACCATCAGGTGGGTTGCCTTTATAAACTCGCATGTCAGTAGCAAATCCTTCATGGTTCCCCATAGCTTGCTTTGCACACTTTGCTCTTGAGGCCAGGTGTCTTTTCGAAGTTGTAGGTAGAATGGACAGATCTGCAGAATGTGCTCAGGTGTTTGTGGCCCTGTTTGACAGACACTGTGGGAACCGTACAATCTTTATTTTATGCATGTAGTAGTTGAGCCTGCAGTGTCCTGTTTGTAGACAGAAAATTGTTGTATGTTGCTTTCTGTTGAATCTGCTAATGTGAGATAGAATTCAATCACAGCCACTTGGCTTTTCTCATCAGCGTTTGTTGTAGGGTTTCTATTAGATGTCCTTGCTTCTAAAATTCATTTATTTCTGACTTCAGTGCTTGTTTGGTGACTCTATTTTGTCCTATAAAGGAGACGATATTTCCTGATGTTTCTCTTATCCGAGAAACGTTTAAAGCTAGTTGCATATCTTTTACAGGACGTTGCAGAACCAACCCCAGCATTTCTTATCTGTTGCGGTTTTCTAGGCAAGTTTACGTCCAGTAGTTTGTCATTGCCTCTTGACGGTCGGCTTCTTGATACCACTGTCGGAACCAACGTAAGGCGCAAGGACCGCAGTTGGGATCGAACCCGGCACCCCGGCATTACGAAGCGCGTTCGCAACGCCTAAGCCACAGACGCCGACAATCAATAATACACAATCGAAAACCCTCTCTTTCATATCCTGGGCTAATATTCCCAGACCAAAGGAGATACTACATTTTTCGGTAAATAGACTATCATACTTGTAATACAATACGTTATTGGCGTGCGACCATGAAACGCACGACCATACTTAAATTGCACAACAGAAAGTTCATCATGTAATACCATACAATATGAAAACACAAATACACCTAGCGTAAAGAAAAATTAAAAAAAATTAAATATAATTTACAAATACACTTAAACAAAAGACACTTTACGCTTTTAAATATTATACTTTTAACACATTGAAATATTCAAAATAACAACGAAACGTGCAAATTTCACATTTAATATGTATACCTACTTATATCAGCTAATTTTTATTTCAGATGTATCCATTCATTCCAGGCAATTCACAGTTGTTTTTAAAAGTACAATGCCTTTTGCAATTAACTAAATTCGATTTTTTTTTAAATGTATTACAAGACAATATAAAACAAGGTATTCCTTATAATTATTACATTGGTTATCTAAAATAAATTGCAGGACAAAGTGAAACAAAACAATTCAAAAGAATATATGCCTTTCGAACATTTCAATTCAGGGGTCCTAAACTTTGACGTCAGCGGAAGAAAAAACTCTTAAGGATAAAGTATAATTTCTTCTTTTATAGTATTCAATTACGTTGTTGTTGTTGTTTGTTTTTATTTTTTAATTTTTTTTAATTAACAAAGCGTTTTATGTTATCAGCTACTTACTATATTTAGACTATATTTATGGAACATAGCAGTAACAACACTAATAATAACAATAATAATAAGCAGTAGTATTAGTAGTAGTAGCAGCAGCAGTAGCAGTAATAATATTAATGGTAGTAGTAGAAGAATCAGCAGCAGAAGCAGTAGTATTAGCAGCAATAATTTTACCACATTTATCCTCTGTGTGTTATAGTTGAAAATATAGTTTTAATCATTTCAGCTACTAAATACTTATATTTGTCAAAAACTTTTAGATATTTAATATTGCATTGATTATACTGTGTCAGTGTTTTTTTGTTTTTTTTTAATGTTTTTTTTTTTAGTGTGGGGGAGAAAAGGGGGGGGGGGGGGTGCGTTGGATGCGAAAACAGAGATTGCGCCATGGAATTGCATGCTTCTAACACACAACGTCAAACATCAAATTACCATCAGCATTAGTGTTTTGTTCTGGAAACCATGTCCAAGCAATGCCAAGCAAGAAAGTTTTGGAGACAATTATTAATATATCAAAAGTAGGCAGTACCGAACCATTTTCACATCAGCCGCGCATGAGGGGTATGATGCTAGACTCGGAGTATTTATAGATCCATAGGCATTATGTTGTCACCATCACGCCTACCGTCTTTACTACACTAGACACTTCCCGGTACCCCTAATAGACTGGGCCGACCTGGGAGCCAAAGTCAACAGGAAACAAAAATATAATTCGCGTTCTTAAACTAGTAGGAATGTATCTGTCAAATCTTTTTCCTGAAAACTGGGTTGATGTGATTCCAAGATGAAATATATACGGCTCTGTGTGGCGAAGTGGTCAGGCTGTTTGCCTCACGTTCTGAAGATCGTGAGTTCGTTTAGCAGACACGTCGTTTACTTTGCTGGGTGCAGTTTTAACGGAGATTCCAGGGGAATGGCGCTGAAGCTATTGAATTCGTTCTTTGTGCGATGCTTTGGGCAGGCGGCTGACTGTTCAGTGGAGACATACTAAGCAATATGGAATAAACCGAGAGGTGGCGTCGATTCGCTTGACTTAAACTCTAACTTTCCACGATTAAATACCTAAAACTGAATAAATCGTCACCAAAATAGATTCAGATGCCGATTTAGGCCTAAGCTAGGCTCAGTAAGCTTTACTCTAGGGCCACAATAAGAATAAGAATAAACTCACAGGGAGCAAGTACAGCGGGGATCTACAGTCATCAGTAGAAATTATCCTCGTCGACACACGTTTCGGCCCACGATTCCTAAACGTATTCGGAGGTGGGCCCACCTGAGTTCATGAAGCTCAGGGCTGCTTCCCCGCTGCACAGAATTACCGGATGGTGTTATTATTTCGACCAGAGACAAGACGACTTAGTTGTTTCGAAGGAGGTACTGTGAGATAAGAAGTCGCCGCGACAGCCTAATTAAAACAGTCCGCATGCCTGGACGACCGAGCGACAAGCTTACTTTGGTTTACCGGACACATGTTGGACTTTTATTAGCAGTTGGCAGAGGGACACTGGCAGACAATTCGTACACGATGGACTTTTCAAAGGGATGAGAAACTCTTTTCCACTAGATACCCAGACCAGCTCACCGAGGCCCGTCCCCAACGTTGTTGCGCTGCGTCCAAAATAGATTCAGATGCCGATTTAGGCCTAAGCTAGGCTCAGTAAGCTTTACTCTAGGGCCACATATTAAAGGGGAGCCTCAGAAAAGGAGTTTCTATGTTTTAAGTGTTGTCACAACTTGAGTGCACTTTTCTTGTATAAAAATTCCCTCCTCCTGACTGGCTGCATGAACGACTGAATCGAGAGTCCAAAAGAGTCACTATTCTGTTTCGAGTCTAACAGGGCCAAGTCCAAGAGTCATGTTTGCTTGCATAAAACATTTCAATTTGGACACCCTTCTAAAACGAGGTAACTGGCGTCTAATGTGGGTGGGATCTCAATGTGCCCTTGTTTTTCTGGCGGTACGCAACGGTACGGGAGTCGCTGTGGCAGAGCAGCTAGTCGCGCTTCGCGGATGCGAAGGTCATGGGTTCGCCCCCTGGCGGAGCCGGACTTTTCTTCAAAAATGACCTTAGCTCCCAGGTCGAACAGCCTTGAGTGGGTACCGGGTGCAGTCCCGGGAAGTAGAGGCGGTCGGCGTGATGCTGACCACATTACCCATCTTGTGCCCTTGGTTTATAAAATATAGGTCTAGCCCTATAAGCCCTATATGCCTAGGGGTGGGGAAAAGGGTCCTTTACTTTATTTTTACTATTACGCAACGGTACGCTGTCCGGGCACTTTTTTAGGCATCATGTTTTACTTGCTCTACTGTAGTAGACACTTTGTAATCAGCACCTTCAGCTTTTAAAGACTGGTGAGTACCGGCACATTTTTTGTGTTTTTTCTGGAGCAGCGGGGGTGGGGGGGGGGGGGGGGGAGGCTGGTTGTATGCATTACCACTAGACGAGCAATTGTCCTTCCTTCCTTTCTTTTTTCCATCTGTGTTATTGTTTTCCAGGCTGCTACTAGTTTGTGCTGTATTTAGTAATACGTTAATAAAGACTTGTCTGCATTGTGGCTAAGTCGATGCGAACGCTTCGTAATGCCGGAATGCCGGGTTCGATCCCAGCTGCGGGCCATGTGCATTGCGTTGGTTTCGACACTGGTATCGAGAAAGCCGACCGTCCAGGAAGAAATGGCAAACTACTGGACGTAAATTTGACTAGAAAAGCCACACACCAGTCAGGGACTGTTAGGGTTGGTTCTGCAACGTCCTGTAAAGGATACGCAACTAACCTATAATAAAGACTTTGGTGGAAACGTTCTGTTGTGTCTGTGTGCATCTTTTTCATTAACTCCGCTGAGCTTTTCAGTCAGCTTTTGTTTTATATTGAGCATTTCTTGCTACTTGAAAGTTTGACGATACAAAGATGGCAAAGTCTCCGTCTGGACTGCAGGCCAACAACAAGGTAAATCCCAGAATCCTCGTTCAATCTCCAAAGAAGTTATAGTTAAGGTAGCATACAGTCAGTGATGGGTATGGAGCTGGTGCAGCATCATCATCATCAAGTGCCTTGCAAACTGGCGTGGGCAATCATACCTCTTCACAAGCTGCGATCTTTAACAGAGAGTAAGAGTTCAAAAAGCTGTTCAGAATCTTCTTGCGCTGTTTTCCTCTGTTTTTTTTCCCCACATACATTTCTAGTGATCACAATATTTTCCACTTTATTTCTAATAATATGGCCGACAAAAAAATGACTTTCGCTTTCTGATATTTTTGATAAATTGTCTTTAAGCCATCGCCTCTGTCAACACCTTTCAATTGTGTGTATTATTATTATTTTCTTTGTGTGTGTGGCTGTTTAAGGAATTCTAAGGATTATCTTGAAAGCCGCCTATCCGAAGCCTGGATAAATTGCTTAGCTTGTTTATGCATTGTCTAGAAGTCATAGCCATATATTAAAACTAGCCCATATAGCATGTGAGAAATTATTTTCTAACCTGTCTGATATATGTTTATTGCATAAAATAGTCTTCATTTGATAAAATTCTAATGTTAGCCTATTTATTGTCTCTGATATATCGTCCCTCGGATGTTAACCACGTGCCTAGATGCTTACATTTCTGTTTTTGTCCTAAATTTACGCCCTTGATTTTTATTACATGTGTATACATTATCGATTTCTTTGGTACAACCATTACTTATGTCCTTCTGTTATTCCAGCTGATGCTCATTCTATCACTTTCTGTCACTACAGCATCTGTCAATTCAGAAAGGGTGTTTACGCGATGACTACTAACCACAATTCCTGCATAACCACGACAGATGCCATTATATAATCGCTGCATAATGAAAACGAATCAGGTAATAGTACACAGAATGTTTTGAAACAGCGTTATAAAACAGCAGGTTGAGTGTGGCTGAGATTTTGATTTTGTCTTTAAAGGAATTGGAACTATAAGCACCTGTGAGAATGTGTCGAGTTTAGCACAATCTTCTCTGCTCTGTCAAATAAATTTAATACTAGTGGTTGTGAGATATTTCTTTTATTTCTTCGCTCCTCTCTAATTCACCCCATTTCATCTAATTCAACAAACCCTCAATAATCGCTTTTTACAACATGTGTGTTAGCGAGCAGTACGTAACAACCCTCCTCCCCACCCAGTTAGGTCCCAGCTGAATCATTACCTGGGCATATCGTTTAGTACCAAATAGCCCACCATGTGTTGGTTTCAGCTGATACGATCTCCTTTTTATGAACAACATTAACCCATTTTGCCCTAATGCTTAATTCTACTTGTCCGCAATGACGCTATTTAACTCACCATACATAGGAGATTTTTTCAAAGTAATACAATATTGGAACATAGCCAGTTAAGACATCACTCATCATCATGTAGCAGGTCCTCTGCAGAACGTCGCTCTCATTACAGTCTGCCTGAAAGAAACTCGGTCTCTCGCCAGTTCTTCGGCCTCATGTACTTTCATACTCAAGGAGTCACTTATGTCCTGTGCCCATCTTCGTGAAGGACGGCCCCTGCCCGTCCTTCCTGGTAGCATGCCTTCTGCTATAATTTTTTTTCCAATACGTCGTGTCGCTTGATATGACCAAAATATTTCAGCTTTCGAGAAAGGATGCTGTTTATTAGCCAATCTTCCTTGATGAACAGATCTTTTAAGATGTCAATATTTCTCCTCTTCTTTGCCCAAGATATTCTGAGAATCTTTCTATAGCATTTCAGTTCCAAAGCCCCTATTCTCTTTCTTAAGGACTGAGAGATAGTCCACGAATCACATCCGTATGTAGCCACAGTGAAGATGCATGCTCTCAAAATTATAAATGTTAACTCCATGCTAGTGCTTAACCATAGACTTTTAAGGCAGTTCAATCTTTGTATTGCTATGACCATATCATTTTAATTTATTTGTCTCCATTGCTGTTTATTATAGAGCCAAGATATTCCACGTTTGTGACATTTTCAATTTCTTCATCATTTATGGTTATTTTTGGGTGACAGCCAGTTTTATCTGTGGACATTGTTTTCGTTTTCTTTAAATTCAAGAACAGATTTTGATCTTCACTGTGCTTTTGGACAGAGATTATTACATTTTCTATTCCCTTTACACTGTTTGAAGGGAGGACTGTGTCATCTGCGTAGCGGAGTTCCGGAATAGGGCTGCCAACAATTCGGGTGGATCGTAACTGTCACAAGTCTGGTCATTTTTGACATTTCTCAATATGTTTTCTGCGTTAATATTAAAAATGGTGTGGTGAGAGAATGCACGCTGCCTCATCTTTTTTTTTTTTTTTTTTTTTTTTGTGCACCTAAAACCAATCAGATGTTTCACCAGCTGCTCTTATGGCTTCTTGTTGTTCATGATAAAGATTTTCCAATAAATGCACTAAATGCACTGGAAACCTCAGCGCATTTATTGCATTTAATTGAAAATCTTTATACATCACTAGGTTGGTTAATAAAAATTTTTTTACTAGGTCGAGTCAGATTAAAAGAGATTTAAATTAAAGCTGTGTTTGTCTTGTTATCCGAATCGTCCAGCAATTATGTTTTGATCTATGGAGACACTGAAATAGAATTTTTATTATGTTATGTAACTTGGGTGAAAATGATCCAGTTTTTTAAATTTTTGATTTTTATTTTTGTTGTTGAATTTTGAAGCTTTTCTACTTTCCTCTCACAGCTTATGCAGCAAAGTGTTACAGAGAGGAGTTATGTAGTTGCGTGTCTGGTGTCAGCAGTGTATCTTGTGTTAATCCCATATTGTGCTTCTATTCTGTCTCTTCTACTATTGGTTTTAAACTACTGGTGGCAATTCAATACTGAACTAATGATCGGATAAATTACTTCTCAAATTTGGCCTGCAGCCCTATAAGGCTATTAAATAGTTCCTCTGAGCAAAACCTTTTGAGGTGCGAATCTTTCCCACGATCTAACTAGGTCAATATAGAACAAGGGAGCATCTTCTTAATAGGAGAAAGAGACAGACAGATATTTAAAAGAGATCAAATAAATGAGCCTTTATTTGCTTGATCAAAGTGTAGGAATATGAGGGTCTGTTCAGAAACAAACTAGTGCCTGTTCGTGAATATACAGGAGGGCGAATTCAGAAATAAAATGGAAGATGGTTACAAAACAAGTAATTTTAAAGTCTGGTCGAATGGTTAAAATACTGGTCTTTCAGATCCGGATTCGAATTCTCGATCACGTTATGATTTTTATTCGGGGTCATTAAAATAATCGTTACCTGCAGACTCCGGTCATGTGGCCCTAAATCCTCACATGCAAAGACTCCATCCCCCTCTGCATCGCACAAGTGGTAACTCAGCCAATGTTTGACTGTGCATGACTATATATGTATCGTGATTTCTAGGATCACAAATATTTTAACAAAACCTTCAGTTACTCCTAACGTATATTGTTCCATGGCTTATCCTAAATAGATATTGGCAGGCAGAGTAATAATAAAAAAGGTTTCTTTATCCCCCTGTTTATACGCAGTACGCATAATTTTTTCGGGGTTATTGTAATAGACACTTTGCGGTGCAAGTACCGGCACCTTTTCCCCGACAATTTGCAGTTGATATTTTATTCTGAAAATCAAAAATCTCTCCAATATTTAATATTTGTTTTGGATTAAATACACTTCATTATCGTAAATAAAATTAAAATCAAGCTTAGCCAGAATGGTAAATATTTGCACAAGCAATTCAGAACAACTTGAAGGTACCAACCTCAATTTCCGAATACTCCATCAGCGGTGAATCATATCCTGCTTTTGACCGAATCAACCAATCAGATTTGACTTTGACGACTTTCTTCCGGTCGGGATCTATGAGTCTGTACGAGGTAATGTTAGCTCCTCCGTACATGTAATCTCTTAAGTCCAACAGAGTCAGGTCCTGAGACACAGACAGATAAATTTATTTTAGAAAATGTTTACATGTGAAATAAATTGGGGTGAAAATGGTGCGAGCGATGGCTCAAGACCGCTCGACCCACAGCGCCCTTAACAAAAAGTGGTAAACAGATGAAGTAACGACTGACTGCAATTGAATTTTATCTTTACAGCATTTCATATACATCTATGAACGTACGTCTTTCTCTCTCCCTCTCGCTCTCTCCCTCTGTGTGTGTGTGTGTGTGTGTGTGTGTATGTGTGTGTATTGCTAACTGAATATTAAATTCTTAAATACAACAAAACAATTGCAGTAAGAAAAATGTGTTTCGAAGAGCCGATTTAAGCCTAATTTGTTAAATACATTTGCAGTAGGAACAGCGAGTGTTTGGAACAATCAATGTAAGACAGGCTTGTCTGCCCAATTTGTGACCCTTTGAGAAAAAAGCTCGTTCATTTGCATAGGAACTCTGATGTAAAGTAAGTAAACAAGTAAAGGTCTCTTTTCCACAACTTTAGACGTACAGGGCTAGACATATATTTTATAGACCAATCGGCAGAATGTCAGCATCACGCCTGCCGCCTTTACTTTCCGGGACTGCACCCGGTACCCACTCAAGGCTGGGTCGACCGGGGAGTCAAGGTCATTTTTATGATGGAAAGACGATCACTCAAAAACAAGCAATTTTAGGTGTCAAAATATTTTATGTTACATTTAAATTTGTAAGAATTCTTGTCAGTTTAGAACGCAATTATACGTTAGGTAGGTTGTAGACATAATAATACAAGAGTGTGTTCTGGACAGTAATGGATTTAGGTATAAGCGAACTTAGTAAGTATGTAAGTTTTACCCCACCAGGACATCACACAGAGCAATAACACCCGGTGACCCAAAGTGCCGACAGTCGGAAAAGGATCACCCGTTGAGGGGTTCCGGTAGCCCCGTTCAACAGTTAGGTTATATTAGGACAACTGGCAACAGCCGGGGTGAGGCTTCAAATGACAAAAAAAAGTTCCACGTGGAGACGACGAATTGTTAGGGACTTAAAAAGCGAAATTAACTACAGCTTAGGGATCACAATCTACAAGGTTCTACAAAAATCAGATTTTGTTTTTCACAAATTCAGTTTTCAATTAATGTATGTGAAATACATCTTTTAAATATATTTAAAATGTTTTCTTCATAGCAATGCATCAATTTATAACATATAGCCTTTCATGTGAATATATAATTTAATGTTTATGACTTTGCGAACACACTCTCTATTAATTCTTTAAAAAGTAAATTTAACAGTGTATTTTTAGTATTATTTTCAGTAAGAAATGTGTACATTATGAAAGTTTTCTTATATTATATGTTTGTAAACAGTTGAGGTTTTGAATTATTTAGTGCCTTGTCAAGTTTGAATCCGGCCTGGTTCTGGGGCTTCATTTTGAAAAAAAAGACCTGTTTACCTCCCCCTTCCATCTCCCAATAATAAGCAAGTCGTTGGAGGCAACTAATTATGAGTGTCTCATTCAAAGTCAGAGTGCAGCAGCTTGAGGGGCAAAAAACAAACGGTCTGCATACAAATAAGCCAGATATGTAAAACTGATGTACACCAAAAACTCAAGTTCTCGTTCAAAAACAGACTTAAGGAGTAGAAGACCAACTGGAGCTTTACGCTAGCGTTTACAACTGTGAACACTAAAAAGAAGAAGACGACGAAGAAGAAGAAGAAGAAGAAGAAGAAGAAGAAGAAGAAGAAGAAGAAGAAGAAGAAGAAGAAGAAGAAGAAGAAGAAGAAGAAGAAGAAGAAGAAGAAGAAGAAGAAAAAGAAGAAGAAGAAGAAGAAAAAGAAGAAGAAGTGATGATAATTATGATGATGAAGATAATGATGATGAAGAAAAAGAAGAAAAAGAGGAAGAAGAAGTTGAAGATGAAGATCAAAATACCGGTTTGTCAAGCAAGCGCCCCATTCAGAGTGATTTCCGCCCGGGAAATACAATATGATAATGAATGTAAATTTCTCAGACTTTTGTACCGACAACTGACAGTGCATTAGTTTCAATGAAATAAAGCATTAGTTGTCGGTTTTGGAGTGACGTTGGACAAAGTGAGAACTGAGATCTTTTAAAATGTATCTTTTTTAAGATTACGCAATGGCGGTGGGTTTGTTTTCGCGTGTATATATATATGTGTGTGTATGTGTGTGTGTGTGTGTGTGTGTGTGTTCGGGTGTGATCAGTTACGTATTGATATAAACATTAGATCTTTACTGTTGTGGTTATAGATGTGTAGCAGTGTGTGTGTCTGTGGGGGCGGGGGGGGGGGGGGGGGGCTAACGCCTCTATTTTGATTTGTCTTTTAGTGTTTCCGTGTATCTGTCTGTCTGTCTGGTCTGCCTCTCTCTCTCTCTCTCTCTCTGCCCTTTCTCTGTTATTAGAAAATGTCTCAATGCAAGTTATCCACGCCCTTAAGCGTACTAGGAATGTGTTGCTAGACCCACACTTTATGGAATAATCTCTCCATTAGGCAGATGCGGGGGTCCACATCATATTGGCTGCCCCCCCCCCACCCCCTGTGTGGGTTCCGGGGCCCTATTGTGGGGAAAACAAGAATAGACCCACTGCCTCCCCAAAAAGCATGTCGTAAGAGTCGACTAATTGGGAAGCCTCCTTTGAAGTCGGAGTGCATCTGCCGGAGAGGCAAGGAACCAACAGTCTGTATTCAAGAGAATGAGATCTGTAAATCTGATGCACACGCAACACTCGGCTTCTGGAGCAGGACTGCAGTTCAGTAGTGGACGAGCAACCAGAACCTTCCGCCAGAGTTTACATCAGGTGAACGCGACGACGACGACATTGGCTGCCTACACCTCCAAGCAGTTTACTTGATACCCATTTTAGATTGGGTCGACCTGGCAGCCAAATTCAAACAAATGGCCTTGCATCGGGATTGTGTGTGTATGTGTGTGCACGCGCGCCTGCATGTGTGTGTCTTTCTTTTTTTTATTATTTTTTTTTTTTTTTTTTTGATTGAGAACACGACAGCTGTAGTTAGACATAAACGAGAGATTTCTGTTGAAAAAGAATCCTTCGAACATTCCGCCGAACAAAAACACAAAAGAAGAACTTGAGAGGAGAATCAAATGTTCACCGCTAACACACGTTAGCAAAGGAAGAAGATGGTGATGGATTAGAAATGTTTGCAGAATGCATCGTGATACTTGGCAAGGACAGTTCTAGGGTGGATGACAGATGGAAAAAGGTGACGTGGATCGTCTTAGGAAACCAGAAGAAGGACAGTAGAAAAGGAAATGAAGAAATGTAAAATGGCATGAGATCGCTTATGCAGAAAAGCACCAGACCGGCAGTAATGGACATCAATTGTGAATGCTTTCTGTTTCAATAGCGAGACGAAGAGCATACTGATGTAGAAAAGTATTCTTCTTCCACCTGTTTAACTATCAAGGATCATAGGTCCTCAACCAACTCACGAAGCGTTCGGTCCTTTGCTATTACAAGCAGCTCTCCTCATGCCCCCTCCTCTATCTTTTAAACTTCATTCATAGTTCCCTTTCCCATGTGTTTTTGGTCTTCCTTTATTTATATGCTCCTGTGGGTTCCAGTGCAAAGACATTCTAGTTATATTGTTCTCAGGTTTTCACAAAGGTTGTCCTATCCAACGACAGCGTCTTTTTTTTACCTCTTGGTTCATTTGAAATTGTTTAGTTCTTTCCCAAGACTGTACATTATTATTGACTAAATCATACCATTTAATTCCCTCTATTATGTACAGGCACTAGTTAATGAATGTTTGTAGCTTATAAGTAATTGCCTTAGTTGTTCTCCATATTTCTGCTCCATACAAAAGCACTGATTTGACACTTAATGTTGAATGTTGAATAAAGAATTGTCATCACAGCACTAGGGGGAACTCCCCATTTGACACTGGAGTTATGCATATTTTAGTTTAGTATCAGTTTTAATTTATTTTGAGCTCTACAAATTCCATAATACTGTGAAAGCTCATCTTGCCATCTCTATTCATATTATGATATCTCTATCAGTTCCCCCATCTTTATCTACACTTCTGCACAAAAATGTCTATGACTCTACGTGTTGGAGTTGGATACCATTAAAAACAGTATAGGCAAAGATTTATCACTTCAAACCTAATAGGTAGTAAATGTGATTGGACTATCTGTCCTGCCTTTACTGTATGTTTGTGATACGTTCTTTTTCATATCCCAGCTTCTTTCAAATATATTTTGTGCCTTGTCACAATAGAGTTTGGCTGCAGTGAATCTACTGCCTTTGGAAATATGACACAATTAAGCCGCAAATCCCTTCCACGATGCAGCACTCGTATCTCTAAAAGCCATGAGAACATCAAATACAGTGGCTGGTATCGTACAAGCGTATAACCGTCGTTGTTCCTGTAGTTCATGACCTCCTTCCGAGGGAGGCAACTAGTTTTTTTTATTATTATTAAATTCCTTCCAAGATATCTTTTTCTATGTAATTTGTTTGTACTTGATCATTATTCTATTATAAAGACAAATATCGGCGTCTTCCAAGTACATTTTGTTTTACAGATCTCTTGAAAACCAATGATTCCATTCTTGAAAGCAATGGCAAGCTTCTCAGCGTAAGTTTCCTAGTGAAATTACAATTGCTGGAGTTGGTTCTGCCACGTCCTGTAAATGATGTGCAACTAACAACTCTAATAATTTTTTTTTTTTTAAGCAATAGTTAAAAACAGAATTTAAAATAGTGTATGTGAAATGTACGGTCTTGTTGTTGTTGTTGTTATTGATCCAGCGGCGCATGAGCTTTCGCCCTTTGGTCCAATGCCATGTAGTGGAATTTACATGTTTTCAAAAGCTGTACTTTTCCTCCGTACAAGGTGTTCCACTTGTTTGGTCTCGGAGGGAGTAGCTTTCTTCTAGTCTCGTTGAGTTTTGGGCACTCAAAGAGATAATGGTCAACAGTTTCGTAGGAGTGGCACTCTAGGACGTATTGTGGCTGTATTCTGTTAAGGTGTCTATTGAGTGGAGTATGTTGTGTTCTGAGTCTGAAGATGGTGGCCATGTCCCTTTTTGTTAAATGGTTAATGCTGTCGTTAGGATCAGGGCTAGCCATGTGTCTATGAACCTCGCTTCCAGTATCTCCCATTACCCATCTGTTCAGCTTTGTTTATAGCTTTTATAAGTGTTTTTGCTGTCTGTAGGGTTGTCACTGTAGGTAGTTGTTCTTGTGTTGATCCTTTCTTTGCCAGTCTGTCAGCTCTGTCATTACCTTGTGTGATTGAGCGGCCTGGAATCCACTGCATCAATATTCTGATGTTGAATGAGGTAATGAGCTGATCAGAAATTTACGGTCAAGAGGATCGACTTGATGACACTACGTTATCTCACATGGCTCGGTATCTCTCCATAGAACGGCTAGCCGTCCGCAGAGAGCGTCGCATAAACGTCTATAGTAGCAATGATCGCCAAGGAGCTAAGTGAAATCAGCACTCGTGAAACAAACCCATGACTTTTGGAACTCGAGGAACACGCCATAGCCACTTAGCCATGGAGACATCTTATGAATAAGTTGCCTAGTTCTTCTTCTTCTTTCGTTCGCTTAAAATAGATTATCTATATCTGTTGTCTCTAGTAAAAACTTCACTGTCTTTTGTAATACACTCAGCGACCTGCAAAGTTTGCCTAGTAAAACCCAACATCAATTGCTGCGCTTAGTTTACGAAAACTAAAAATGAACATCAACTGTAAAATTAGATTTAGGTTGCCTCAGTGGATCATTATAATTTTCCTTTATAAGGTATCGGTGGATCTTCGATGCTAAGTGGTCAAGTCGTTTGTCTTGGGCGTTGAAGGTTGTGGGTAAGTTTCAAGCCTGCATCGTTCAGTTCAAGAGTGCATTTCTTAAGAAACTTCTTGGGATAGTCACCGAGCTACGAAGTTCGTGCATGGATGAGAAATGCATACTTTGAAATATCCACCCAAAATGCACACACCTCTCAGACACACACAAGCACACATACACAACGCACTTACACACACAGAGGCGCGCATTGACCACACACACACACATACAACATAAACAGGCATACACAATCACAAAAGAGACCCAGCCATATGTGATAAAACCTGGTACAATAAAATCGATAGTACAAGCTTTAACTTTATTTTATAATGCGTCTGGGATTCGCAGGTTACATTAAAGCTGGTTGTTTGCAACCTGTTATAATGTCTTTTCTGCATCCCAAATGCAGGCGGCTGATGTATAAGATGTTTGCGTTTAGCTAAATATAGTTTCGCTTGTCCTATCCCTGTGGGCATTTTTGTGAAATATCTCCTATTTGACGTTGTCCATACCCCTAAATGTCTGAACTGCACTTTCCACGTCCAATGAATGTCACCGATTTTAATTTAAAAAATGTTGCTTTGCCCTTATTTTTAACATTGTAATTTATTAGGCACTCCAGCATCCATCCACACCAACACCAATTTGCGACGCCCCCCCCCCTCCCCTCCTTCCCACCCCACTGGATTACAATAAGCCCAAACATAATGGATTGTCTGCTTCTGAAAAAAAAAAGCTATCCGTTCTCTTTTGAGTTGATTTTTTTTACAATTCATCCGTAATTTCTGAACTTTTCTTCTTGTGTTAAATTAACGCCAGTGACATTAAGTTGAAATGTTCGGACTGTTCTTTTTAAGTGCCATTGCTTACATATTTGTTTGCCCGCTCTCTCATGACATCCCTAAAGATTGTGAATTGTCCCCTTCTGATATCGAGTAATTTCTTTCCAAGCATCCTTACTACGTAATTTGTCTGTACACGATGTTCTCCTGGTGCCTCTATAAAAGCATATATAGGCTTCTTTCGCATAAATTCTTTTTTTACGCATCTGCTGAATGTCTTTAATTCCCTTTTCGTGAATAAGATCAGATGAGAAAAACAAAATCTGTCTTCCTCTTTTTTGGCACAGCTACTGTCATTACATATGTGGCAGACTAGAAATTTAAAAGTTCAACATCTACTTTTTTTCCTCCTTTCATCTGTATATTGGTAAGTGCTTGGTTTGTGTGGCTATTTACCAGGATCTTGCTTTTCTCGCCATTAATGTCTATGGCCTTATTCCACAGCATGTCTCTAATCTGTAGAATGTTCTTGGAGTTTTGCTTCAGAACCAGTCCTGAGATCAATACCGTCTGCAAAACGTAAATTACATAGTGGTCTTTCGCCAATGATGTAGATGTTTCCAGATTTTCTAGTGTTTCTCTTATGACGTGTTCCAGATACAAATTGAAAAGGACAGGGCATAGTATGCAACTCTGTCTCACCCTCAAACTGGTTTTTAAAAATGTGCCTATGTCATTTTGAATGAGTACTTCGCTGCTTGCATCTTTATAAAGTGCTTCAATGGTGTCTATGATGTTTATTTAGAAGTTGACATTCCTTATTATTTTCCAGTACCAAGCATGCCACACACGGTCAAATGCCATCGTGAAGTCAATGATGTTATGGAATAGGTCGTGTTGATGTGTTTTCCTATCATTGTTCCGATATTGAGAATTTATTCTGTGGTGCTTCCTTTTTCTCTGAAACCCGCTGTTCTTCGGCTGGCATTTCTTAAGATAATGCTTTTAATCTGTTAAGTAGCATCTTTAGCATTATTTTGCTTGTGTGGGTGAAAAGACTCTACAATTGTTGCAGCTTTTCATGTTTCGTTTCTTTGGCAGTGGTATTACCAATAATTGTGTCCATTCTGTAGGTCACTTCTTAGTGAGCTATATTCTCTGGCACTTCTCCGTAATTACCTTAATTGTGTGTTCTCCTCCATATTTGAAAAGTTCAGCTGGGACATTGCCCACACCTGGTTGGCGATTTCACTTCTTCTAGTGAGCAATCACCACCTCAACTTGTTCTGTCAATATTTCAGCATCGTCAACTTCTCTATTTTCTCGAGTGATGTTGTTTGGGGCTGCAGTGTCAGGCTCTGCTTCTTGATTATACAAGTGTTTATAATATTCCGTCCAATACTGCTTGCTGTTTTCTCATTAAGGACGTGTTTGTTCTTATCCTCTATAATGGGTATCTTGGGTTTTTATGGTTTGGTTAGTCTTTTTACTGTTTCGTACGCTTCCTTGTTGTTGCCTTGTTTGAGACCTCCATCAATGGTCTCTCACTGGATGTTTAATCCATTCTTCTTTCGCCACCTTCATTTTTTTCCTTACTTTTTTAAATAATTATGCTATATTTTTTGCAACTTCTAGAATTTTGTCTTTTCTCCTTTCCAATTTTTCGTCGCATATCTCATAATGTCAACATTTAGGCTGTTACCCATGGTTTGCGTGGTACCTTTGCTTTTTTACCTAAAATTTCTTCTGCTGCAACCAAGAGTCCTTAGCTCATGCTTTGTGTCAGTCAATTCGCTTCTTCTAGGAGATAAACAACGGCAAATTTGCCTTCTATAGTTGCTCTGAAGATCTCTGTCATTTCAGGATTCTTCAACTTATCTAGGACACCGACCACCAGGTAATCGGTGGTGAACATGGACGAAAGATGACTCAGTCAAATAGGAAGAAGAATTATTGACATTCACACACACACACACACACACACACACACACACACACACACACACCCACACAAACACACATACACACAAGGCGCAGTGAGATAATGAACTATCCATATAATTCAAGAACTGGGCTAAAATACTGTCACATAGGACAAATAATTCATGCCATTCACAAAGAAAACAAACGAGCAGAGGGATAATGAACCATGTATATAACTCCGGCAGTGGGTCAAGATACTTAGTCAAAAATATTCATGGCATTCACACACACACAAACTCACCAGCGAGGTAAAGAAGTAATGGTAGGTTTCCGATATCATCTTTAACTTCAAAGCCTGTGGATAACAGCAATATTAAAAGCATATGTAACCTAATGTTCAATATAAATATATATAGAAAGCAATAAAGTTTCAAGGAAAAATAAGCAAAGTGTAAAGTTTCATGCAAAAGAATGTAAATTGTAAATTTAAATGTAAAACAAGCAACGTTTACTGTTGAATAATCACAATGTTAAGCTTTATATCGAATCAAACAAAACACAAACATTACATGTTAAATCACGAAACGTTTAAGTCAACATGTACATTTCATGTAAAAACAATTCAAGCGTGAAAATAAAAAAGAGGAAACTATCACATTTACACCAGTGGCGCAACAGAGAAATAATGAGATGTATTTTAATGGGTATGTATTTTGAAGTTTAAACAACAGAACGACTGCCTTTACTTTCCATGCATTACTTTGTACCCATTTAAGGCTGATTTAACTGGAGAGCCAGTGCAAATTTTCAAGCAGAAATAACATCCGCCGGGGTATAAAATCGACAAAAAGGCGTCAAGTTTCAAGAAAAACGTGTGCAGGTTTATTGGCGTAAATCATTCTTGAGCCAAACTGGGAACATGTAGCAAACATTACTAGATCAGAGAGTTGGACCCATAGCTGAATAACGTTTGAGAACAGCACAGTTTGGTTTCAGGGGAGGAAATGTTTGCACAGATGCATTATCTAGAGTAAAACATCTTTGGGAGAAAACCATATATATAGATGAACGAAATAGTGGGTTTGTAGATCAAATAGATGCTTTGGATAAATAAATTATGGAACATTCTTCAATATTACAAAAACATTATCTAGATAACAGCATTGACATTTACCATACTAGCCCAAGCAAAGTAAAAACTCAAGAGCAAGATGAGGGAGAAGGAATGACATAAACATGGAGGATGAGTGAGATCCTAAAGAGGGAGCAAGCATGAGAGGGAATGAGAGGCATAGGGGGAATTGAGAGAGTGCGTGAGTTAGAGGGAGGGGTAGAGGGAGAGACAAGAAAAGAAAAAAAAAGTGACACAAGGATGTAGAAAGACGGGGAGAGCGAGAGATACACAGAGAAAATAAAAAAGAGGGGCAAACAGATATGTTTAGAATCAATAACAGAGTGAGGCATGGATGAGGGCTCTCTTCAAAATAATTTTGTCTTATGTATTTTGTTTCCACGTATTCTATTTTACATGTATTTTTATAATTCCCTTGCTATTCAGCACATGATGATGATGATTATGAAGATAATATTATAACAACAATTATCAATATTATTATCGCACGGCTTAGGCCTACCGACACACCTCTCGCCCCAGAAACTTTGCAATGAGGTTGAGGTATCTTAATCTGTTTGTTTATGTTTTGATATGGACGGCTCTGTCTCTATGTTTCTTTCTCTTTGATTCTGCTGCACGTTACAAATACCTTTTTCCAAATATTTCCATTTCTAACATTATGCCATAACTCAAACATTTAAAAAAATATGATCTGATCAACCATTTCCCGTTTTTGATCAACTCTGTCGATGATTTAGATATAATTAATACCTTCATTACATTCAGATGTGTTAACAACTTTGTCAAATATCAATTGACGAACAGCCTATATTTAGTGAACGGTGAAAACAACCAGAGACAGAGAGCGAGAGAGAGAGAGAGAGAGAGAGAGAGAGAGAGAGAGAGAGAGAGAGGGAGAGGGAGAGGGGTGGGGGAGAATAAATGACATAATCATGGAGGAAGAGTGTGATGTTTGAGATGGAGCAGACATGAGAGGACGTGAGAGGCACAGGGGGAAGAATGAGATTGCATGAGTTAGAGGGAGGGGAAGAGGCATAGAACAATAGTTGGAGAGACAAGAACAGAGAAAGATGGAGTGGCAGTGTATATTGACTGGGAGAGCGAGGGATACAAAGAGAGAATAAAAAATAGGACAACAAGAGATCGACAGTCACATACAGTGAAAATAGACAAGACGGAAAGAAAGGGGGATAGTCAGTGAGATGTACAGAAAGAGAGCAATATACACGAAGAGAGTTGTGGGACAAAATGTGGGAGGAGGGGGATGGTTAACAGAGAGGAACAGAGAGATCAAAAGGGCATAGAGAGAGAGATTGAATGAGAGGCAATTAATGGGAGAGAAACAAAAACATAGTAAAAATGAGAGAGAGAGAGAGAGAGAGAGAGAGAGAAAGAGAGAGAGAGAAACGTTTCAGAGTGGGGGTGGAGGGCCTGAGATAAAGAAAATGTTCAAATATGCTGCCATATGGGTAGGGAAGGAGAGAGAGAGAGAGAGAGAGAGAGAGAGAGAGAGAGAGAGAGAGAGAGAGAGAGCGAAATAGAGAGAGAGAGAGAGTCATTTTGACTCAGATGACAGAAGAAAAAAAAAAAGCCACATATTCACAAGAACGACATTTTTCGAATATTTGCTTTCACTTGATATCTTACAGCAAAAGTCATGGCGCCTGTAACAGTGATAACTCAATAACCTAATGGCATTGGATTGGCTTTCAAATTATAGAACACAAAAATACAACAGACAGGAAGTGTAATTATGAGGCCACTTCAGAAAACGATCGACCATCCACCCGGCTACAGTACCCAGATTTGATTGAATTTGTAACAGGTACTATATTTAGAATGACAAACCGAATGAACAAAAACATAATTTAAAGTAAAGTAAATGATACTTTTCGACGCTTTCAGGCCTATTGGGCATGAATATCTAATGTATTTTACAGAACAATTGGCAGTCGGCAGGTGATGTTATCAACATCACGCTGGCCTCCTTTACTTCACAGGACATTTACCTGGTACCTATTTAAAGCTGAGTCGAGGAAAGGGGGGGGGGTAAAGTATTTTTTTTTGAGAAGTTTAGCTCCGTCAGGACCTGAACCACGATCTTCGAATCAGTAGGTGAGCGTCTAGGCGCTACACCCCAGTGGCTCCAACATAAAGCAAGTGTTAGTAAATACCTGATAGTATTATAACTTATAAGCTGGGGAAAAACTGAAGAAGAATAACAGAACTGAAAACGTTAAAAACGCCTGAATAGTAACAGAATCATGATCCCCAGCAGCTTTTCTAGACAAGGCAGTTTAACAGACCTCACAGCCTGGCGAAACTCGACAAACATTTATAGAACTTATAGCGTTAAAAAGACCCATGAGTAACAAAACTTACTGCATGAAGAAATGGCTTGACTGTCTTAATCCCGCAGTCAATCACAAACTTTTCTTCCCCTCTCTTCCTCAGGTCCATAAGCAGAGCAATGTAATCGTTGTTTGTCTGTACCAGTTTTCTCACAGTGATCTGAGGTGGCGAATCATTGGACTCTCTCAACACTTCCTGTACTCGAGTCAGACCTGGTCAATAGCGGGACAATTAGAAGGTACTAACATCAAACATTGCTGTAATGGTTTGTTTAGCAGGTAGGGAATAATTAGTTATAGGGAAAGAGAACTGATTGAAGCGGGGTGGGGGGGGGGGGGGGGGTGGTAGTGTTCCCACATTACAAATTCTCTAGAGACCTCCTAAAAGCGTAATAATAATAATAATAATAATAATAATAATAACAATAAACGTGTTGGATAGCAGAAAACAAAAATATACTTGTATTTGAGAAAAAAATAATGAAATAATATTTATTGCGCGACATATTTTTAAAACAAGGATTTCCTTGTATGTTAAGGGGCGCCAGTTAGCTCCCTTACGAGTTTTCTAGAACGGCTGCAGCCGCGCCCTCTCTATTGTTTAGAAGGACTTTGGAAGGGTAGTGGGTGGGCCTCCGTCTCGATTTTTTAATATAATTAAGAAATCCAAAAATTTCTTTAGGTTCCTTTTTCGAAAAAAAATTTTTTTTTTTTTTTGGGGAGAAAGCAATTTTAGACGGTAACACACTAAACCTACTTTAACACAAATCCATTTAATTTTTTTTTGGGGGGGAGGGGGGGGAGGGGGGGGGGGGGGTTTCCCTTTATTTAACTCTGTATGTTTGCGAGGATTATGTTTTTCTTGCTATCGTGTAAGTATTTGTCTGTTTGCTTGTGTATTGTTTGTCTGCTAACATTTGTTGCCGTTTGTTTGTGTTTGTGTTATGTTCAGATGTAGTCAAGAAGAAAACAAGAAAGAAATGGGTAAAGGGAGATTGGTGAAGTCTGGGATTTAGTCACTTCTCTATTTTATTCCAGGTCATTTTGAGTCTTGTGTCCATATTGGCTTTCTATCCATGTCTGGTAGAAAGCCACTGCGTTTTTGTGAAATTGCTTTTTGTGCAATTTGTAAAACATCTTAATGTCAGAATATTCTTCTTTCTCTCCTTCCTCACGGCTTGCTTTTGCTAGCTCTCGTGCTGAACTATCGATAAGGTCTCTGTTGTTCCTGTAGAAGAACTCTTCATAGAAGGGTAGACCAAAACCGGTATATTCTCCGCTCTCTCTTCTCATCCTATTTATTTCCTGGATCAAACTCATATCTCGTTTGTCATCGTCTAGTTCTTCTTCTGATTCTGTTTCTGGGTCTGTTTTGGGTGTTCTGGGATCCTTCTCCCAATTAGTCTCTCTTGTTTCTGGTATCCGGGGAATGTCTTTGGTTGTCGGTGATTGGTCTGGGGATAAGGGGGACAGTGGTGAGTCCGGAATTGTCACTTTTTGAAAAACTGTCTTAAGAAGTTGGGTCGGAGCCTCTTCTGGCCTTGATGGTAGTCTTGGAGGTTCTGTATTTTCCGAGACTGTTTTGGGTGTCTGGCTCGTGGTCTTCTTAACTGCTCGTGTGGTTGCCGCACCAGTTGCTTTTGTTGCCTTAATTTCCACTGTCGTTTCCATTTTGTTCTCTATGCGTGGTGTGGTGTCCACTGTCTTGGTTTTCGTTTTGTTATTATTTGGAGTCGTCATCGCGTCATTCACTGTGATGTTGTCTTTGGATTGTTGTGCTTGGTGTGCATCTGCGTTTACTGTGGGTGGAAGGGTCTTCGATGTACTAGGTCCCGCTTCTTTCTCTCCTTGAGATTGAGGATTGTTTGCTTTGGTTTCCTTCCGACTGGTTTCTAGTTGTGCTGATTTTTTTTATTGTTTCGGTTGGTTTTTGGTTGACTTCCGGGATCTCCGGAGTTGTAGCTGGGAACGTCTGTTGTCGCTGCCTCTTTTCCGGGCACTTGTTTGACCAGTGGTCATCTTGGTTGCAGTACATACATGCAATTCTTCGGTTAGGCATCGTGATCAACACTTTGTGGTTATGCATAGTTATGCCTGGGGTGTCAACATATATATAGTGGGGTATTTCTCGTGTTGGCTTACACATCGCTCCCCACTTTCTTTCGTCGTGATGAATAGGGAAGACTTCAGGATCACAATCTACCGTTATCGCCTTAACGATGTCCTTCACGCCATCTGTGTTCAGTTGGCTTGGTAGCCAGTTAAGTGTGATCCGTTTCCTCTGCTTTCCGTACTGTTCAATCCTGCAGGTGATATTGTCTTCTTTCAGGGTCACCTATTTGCCATGCAGGGTCTGGAACATTTTTTGTTGACATCTTTGCGACAGGCAGAAAAACCACTCTGTCGGGGGTTCGTGTCGGTACAGATCTATGATATCATCTGGTGGTATTCCAAAAGGGCCTACTAACATGGCCATCATGAAACTAGGTTTGCTCTTTGCAGCCGCCATGGGTCCATCAATTGTGCGTACTAGCGCGTCTTGCCTATGTAGCATCGGGTTTCCATATTTGTTTGGAGGTGCGCTGACTCTCTCCATGTTTGATAACCAGAAGTCTAGGTTGAAAACCACTTGTTGTTTAAAACACAGTAATCCAAATGAATCGAAACAGTTTAGTCACATTGAAATATAGTAACCTAGTGTAGGGTTCTGAATATCCACTTTGCACATGAAAAGCTTAATATAAAACCACAAACGGTAGACCGAAATCCGCCATCTTGCTTGAATATGAAAAACTTAATATGTTTTTAACAAGCGGTAGACCGAAATCCGCCATCTTGCTTGAATATGAAAATCACAAACTACTCTCACATATAGTAGACCGAAATCCGCCATCTTGCGTGAATCTTTGTAAATCCAATTTTATGAAAAACACATGACAAGCAGGGGCCAAAAGGTTTAATTTTTGGCTCCCTTGCTGTTAACTTTTGGTTGCATGGTGTCCTTCGTACGTATCGTTCGTTCGTTAGAAGTATGTTGCGAAATGCTCACACAAACACAAATCCATTTAAGACGAACACTCGACTAGCTTGAGTCCAAATTTGTTCCCATCAGGGATGTACTACAATCTTCTTCTTCTTCTTTCTTCTTCTTCTTCTTCTTCTTCTTCTTCTTCTTCTTCTTCTTCTTCTTCTTCTTCTTCTTCTTCTTCTTTTGTCAAAATCTTCTTGTGCCGCTAGGCGTCGCAGTCTATCAGATGATCGGCAACCGAGCCAGGGCGCGCTCAGTCGCTTCATATGCCGTGATGTTATGAAGTCTCAAGTTGTCGTGACTCCTTCAATCCATATTCTTCTTGGTCTTCCTCTGCCTCTTGGTGTTTCGATTTTTCATGTTGTATGCTCTTGATGCTGGCATCGTTGGTTCCATTCTCATTAGGTGACCAAACCATTTCATTCTTTGCTTCTCAGTAAATTTAACGATGGGTATGGTTCCAATAGTTCTTGTAATAACATCGTTTCTCACTCGATCTCTTCTGGTTTTATTTGCAGCCATTCTCAAACATCTCATTTCACAGGTGGTTAGTCTTCTCTCGTGTTCTTTTGTTAATGTCCAAGTCTGACATTGATAACCTAATGTCGGTATAAAGATTGTATTTATAATTTGTCTTTTTATCTCAGCTGGGACAGCAGGTTTTTTTTAAATTGGGGCAAGCTGGTATGCGACATTGTTGGCTTGTTGGAATCTTGCTTCGATCTCTCTGTCTATTCTACCATTGAATGTAAAGATACTTCCCAAGTATTTAAATTCTTGCACTTGTTTTAGGCTGTGATCTAGAATCTTTATGCCGATGGTCTGTTGCTCTCTACTTATGCTCATGACTTCTGTCTTTTCAGTATTGATCTTCATATGATGCTTGAGGCAACTGTCGTGTAGTAGGTTTATGTGGTCTTGCAGCTGTTTACTATCACTGTGAAATATGCATTGATCGTCGGCAAAGAGCAGCTCATTGAAGTCCTCCTGTTTATCGACATCTGTTGGTGTTATGTCTATTTTATTAATATTGTCCATAAATATTATGAAAAGTAAAGGTGATAATACACAACCTTGTCTTACTCCTGATGTTACTGGAAACCAGTCTGTGATGCCAGCTCTTGTTCTAATGGCGCTTTCACTTTGTCTATAAATAGCCTTAACACAATCTAAAACTGTTCCATTTATACCGTAGATTTCAAGAACTTTCCATAATACATTTCTGTTTACTCTATCGAAAGCTTTTTCTTGATCTATGAAAGCGATGTTCATTTGATGTCTGTTTTCTATTGTCTTTTCGCTAACTTGTCTTAAAGCAAAAATAGCGTCAGTACACCCTCTTCCTTTCCTAAATCCGACCTGTGATGGGCTCAGGATGGGTTCTACAACGGATCTAATTCGTTGTTCCAGAATTTTGGCAAACATTTTTCCTACGTGGCTTAGAAGGGAGATGCCTCTGTAATTGTTACAATCTTGCTTATTGCCTTTTCTTTTCCAAATTGGGACTATAAGGGCTCTTTGCCAGTCTATTGGTACAGTTCTTTCATTCCAGGCTTTCCTAAATATGTGGAGTAGCCAGGTGACTCCAATTTCTCCACAAGCCTGTATTGCCTCGGCTGATATTCCATCAACACCTGATGCCTTATTTTTGGGACTGCATCTGATTGCTTCTCTGACTTCTTGTTCGATTATTGTAGGCTGTTCCTCGTTTGTACATCTGGGTGTGAATAGTACTGTTTCCTCATTTCCTGTTACATTCAGAAGAGGCTGAAAATATTCTTTCCACCTTTCTCTGATCTTGCCCTCCTCGTGTATGGGTTTGCCTTGACTATCATTGACATAAGTATGTTTCGAAATGCTCACACAAACACAAATCCATTTAAGACGAACACTCGACTAGCTTGAGTCTAAATTTGTTCCCATCAGGGATGTACTACAATAGTACTACTAAAACTAATACAATATTACAACACAATTAACACCATCAACAATATTAACATCAACAACAGCATTAGCATCTGTGCATACTTAGTGACTTAGTGAATATGCTTAAGAAAATCCTGGATGGATTCCTGTATCGTCACGAAACGCTTTGCGAGTGGCTGGTTTAACCCTAATTCTTATGTGTACCGGGTGGTGCGGATCTTTGAGGCAGTGAGCGCGCAGATTATCTTGCAGACAATGTAGCTGCTATGACGGGTCCCTTAATGGAAGAAGCGATATTATCACTGCCACAAGCAACACAAATGATAAAGACAAATACGGCACAGGGCATGACTAAGTACCTCTATCTAGGCTGATGGACATAGGGGTGCAAGAAATGTACATCGCACCTAGGGGAAAAGAGATTTGATTAATCAACACAGAATAGGTGCAATAAGTCGTGTTTTGCTTGTGGGGCTTTTGAGGGGAATAATCGAAGCACCTATGGATTTGTCCAAAATACTGCCATAATAATCCTCAGTAATCTCAACAAAAAGCTGTCAAAACAAACAAGTATGTTAGCATCTTACCATCATTGTTCTCATGTAGAATGGTAAATTTTCGCCATTGCCAAAAACGAATGACGTCGTTGTAAGCGTGGCTCAGCGTCAGGTAGTGTGGATATAAGCTGATGGAGAAGTAGTCTCTGGAGTCCCGCGGATCCCATCGCCACTGTATGTGTGGGATCTCCAGTGTGGTACAGACTGACTGGACGTGCTCTGCTGATAGCGGTGAAACGGGTCCAAAAACAGCTGCAATGCCTGTTTGTGCTAACTTGCATACTGGAGAGGTAAAGAGAAGGTAATGATTAATGAGTTTTCAGCGGTTGATAATTTTTTTTCCTCAAAATATTATTTGCAAATTTTAGAATATAATAACTAAAGATGGCAGCAAAGAAATAGAAATTGTAAATTATTGAACAACACATGTTACAAAAAGGAGTGTCAATAAACAAACAAAAGGATATGGACAGGCTTGATAACCAACGCCACACAGAATGTACCAAATAAAGACTTCGGGTTCAAAATGTCCGATAGTTAAGCCGACTGTTAAAGCTAAGGCATGTGATGTGTTTCTGATCACGGTTTACCGTCGCATTTTTCTTTATAGGTGGACTGAGACTTCTTAGTTCAGTCGCCCAGTGAGGTGCGTAAAGAGTGACTGGACATTCTCTGCCCACTAGGGTGAGACTGGTCCACAAACGGCCCTATGCCTATTTGGGCTAACTTGCAAGCTGGGTATATAAAAGCTTAGTATTTAAACAAGACATCAAGGGAGGGTTCTTTGCTGATGAAAGCAGACATGGCTATGAAATCACAACATCTCACATCCATAAATGTATAATCTGAAACAATAATATGGAATTTAACAATAAAATAGAATTTATTCAAAAAGAAGAAGATGCAGTGATAGAAGGAATAAGAAGAAGCAGATCTTAAATTTAGTAGAGAACTACAAAGGTATTAATCATGCATCGTATATTTACAATCCAGAAACAGTATCTACCGAAAATGTCAAACCAGGTGAGAAAAAAATAGCAGTAATGTTGCATGCAGTAAAACAAAACCGAATAAAAATGAGACATATTTCAATCCTCCTACACCATAAGATAATCCCAATAAGCACAAATCGACTAATACCAGGATGCAAAGCATATTTATTCCCACAGAATGCATGTCAATATCAAATAACAAAAATGAATAAGAACAATATTTGTTTATTCATAAATAATTTTCATTAATAGCCTCAACTTTATGACAGTATCAAAAGCTAAAGGCGGCTGTAAAGTTATGACCTCCAATGCCTGATCCACACCAGACACAAAGAATGAGATGACGAATCCATCTAATCAACAACCCATGACATATTCTACAGGAAACAGGATAGTAGGGCAGTACAATAGGGATGCACACTCGCTGTCTGGTTACTATAAATGACTGGTTTTCTCAGCAGTAAAATGATCTCATGAGACTCTGGCCTGTCTGGTATTTCTCTCTATTGTCACAAGTTGTCATGTAACATTACTAACAACAAACTATAAGACTGCTTTAACCGGCCAAGCTCAACATACAAAAGATATAGTATAGTAGTTAGTAAAGGACCTTTGGGCCCTGTGCGGATTTTGCGTTGAGGACGCGCTTTGTACCTCTAAGGTATTCAAGTCGAGAGGATCGAACTCATTGTGCTGGATTTTATAGCATATGGTTCAGTCTCTCTCCGCAAAACAGCGAGCTGGCTGCTAGAGCGTCTTACAAGCTACGGCGACGATCCACACAGAGATGTTCGTAAAACTGCACACGTAAACTGAACAAAGCAATTATGAACTAACCCACGACCTTCAGAGAGCGAGGCAAACCTCTTCAAAAATGAGTCAGCCCGTAGTTTTAAGGTGTTGGGTTCGATCCCTTCTGCGGACGATAGTCGTGTTTGATTCGACAGGGGTATAAAGAGCCGACTATTCAATACATTGCAAAATATGGAACGCACAACTGCCTAGTGAAACTAAAACAGCCATTAAATGCTGGGCTTGTTCTGCGCCGTAGGGTCAAGGATAAACAACTTACTAAAGGACACTTTATCACGACAATGGAGCGCCAGACTTGATTTTAAACGCATGTTTCTATCGAACAATCGGCACTCCCTGAGTCAATATCCTCCGATAGGCGTTTACTAAGGTAAAGGACCTCTTTTCGCGCCATGAGTCGTTTGGCCCAAATAAAGCTACACTTATATTGTAAAGACTATTTGGCACTCAGTGAGTAATGTGGCTTCATTTTACCTGGCATTACAGCGTGCCCATTTTAGACTGGATCGACCTGGCTGTCAATGTTAATTTTGCCAACATATCATTTTCAACGGGGATTAGAAACCAATACCTTTGGGTCAACAGTTGAACGTCTGGCTGCTAAGCTACCACGGATAGCATAGAAGATATGTGATGGAAGTAAATACGACTGAAACGAAAGCAATGCAGCTGTGCAGGTTTCCGAGTTCCCCCCCCCCCCCACCCTTCAACTCACTTTTTGCCATGATACTGCGAACGGAAAAGGTGGGGGTGGGGGGGGGGGAAATAAACTTACGTTTATTCAGGTTGTAGCAGGTACTATTAACATGTTGCTTCTTCGTTTGCTACTGAAGAAAGGACGAAGCACGTATGGGAATGTCCCCGATGTCAATTCGTCATTGACTAATTGATTTATTGATTTATTCATTCCCATGATTCTCAGCCCCACCCCCTAGAACATATGCAGCGAGCTAAGTTGGCTCCCAAACCATGTATAGACGTTCTTTAAAAAATAGTTATTTATACAGTTAATATATTTATCAAATACATAATAATTATAATTAGTAATAATCAAAGTAACTCTTATAGTTACTGCACATTTGATCACGGGTAAACCCCTTAACCTTGCCGTAGAAAATTATTAGGGGGTTAACCCCCTCCCCCTCTACCCCTCCCCCCGGCCCCCACAAAGATTTCTTTGTGGCGACACACTTGTAGAGTTCTATGTTACAAGTCCGAAGTAAGTTAAATAATTAAAATATCTATAATGTAGATTCTCGGAGGTCATTATATCAGAGCGAGGCAATGAATCAAAGTACTAAAGGGCGTGTGCATTTATTTACAAACTTACTCAGTTATTGGGAGATCCAAACCAAAATATTACCGTCAAGAAGAAGAATAGATTAGCTATTCTTATCAACACTGTACGATCAGTGCCACACTAGGTAAAATTAACACCTCTGACATGTGTAGAAACTACCACCAGAAAGTGCACCACCGAGTCTCTGTTGTTCAGACATAATGGAAGCAGAGTCTAAAGTAGACCAGGCAAGCGATGGATAGATGGAATATTTTAGGCCGTAAAAAGCACCATCTATGTAGCACATACTTAAGGGTCACACCCGATGCTTTTTCAAAACCCTACACTCCAATGCAGAAGATGATTAGAGAAGAAGAACAAGCAGAAGCAGAAGAAGAAGAAGAAGAAGAAGAAGAAGAAGAAG